AGTGCATGAAGTTAGCGTTCGATAGCAGCGTCTAAGAGGCAAGGAAGAATGAAACGGAACGTGAGTACGTTAAATCTGATTGTGCTGATACATGCACTAATCCTCGGATGACACTAAAATTTATTCGTTCACGCCCTACTGGGATTCAAACCTACGACATTTGTTTATTTACTGGTTCTCCTAGTGAACCAAAGAATACACTTTTCAAGACTCCGAAAACCCAAACGATGCGGACAGAATAGAAATCTGTTTGATGACAGCTGACTGCAGCTAGTCTAGCAGACAATTCCAAGGCCTTTTAAAGGAAATAGAGTCTGCGATTGGTTTCCAAGTGCGCAACAAAGCGGTTTTGATGTTATTGATTCTGTTTTTAACAAATATATTATTTAGGTCGAAGACGTCCGGCCGAGATAAGGTCCATCAGCAGTGATGTGCAACCTGTAAGCACCAGAATACAGGAAAACCGATCGTCTTCAAGAGGATAAACAAGCTTACCAAAACAGGGTCGGTTAAGAAAAGAGTTTTGAAGTCAACTGTGCTCCTACTACGTCAAAAGTCGTAACTTTATAGGTAAATATTATTTTCCACTGGGATTCCAACCCATGTACATTGCTTCATCAGCAATTAAATCGATATGAAATGTTAATGAGATTCAAGCGCCAGAGGGTCTTAGAAAAGCTGCATAGTTTAAAGTTCATTTTCAACTGCCATGTTAAAACTATCGCTTTGATGATCTGTTTGAAGAACCTTTTTGTTCAGGTCTGTGCAATTCCAACCCACCGCAGTCGTAGCCGGCCCATATTGGCATTGGGATTTAAACACGTGACCCTAGCTACCAGATCCGAGGAAAGTACTGGAAAGGTAAAATATTTTTACACAAGTATTGTGAAAGGAAATGAAATAAATCCTTTGATTATCATTTTAAGCCACCAATTTCACTCTAATAGTCATCGTATTCGAAGCTCTACGAAGATAATTAAATGTACTAAATGTCTCGTTTAAATAGAATACAAATCCAAGGACCCAATGGAGGAATAGGTGGGGGTGAGGGGAGGGGCTAGTAAGCTTTGATAATAAGTTCAGTTAAACGTGTGTTCTTGACTTGGTCTTGAGAGATTTAGGAGCAGTGAACGTCGACCAGCAAGCAGCCTGATGTGGCATAGCGATGTGAAGCGGGTTTGACGACTGATCTCTGTTACATTGATGATGATGATGATGATGATGATGATGATGATGATAATGATGACTTATGCTGACAATGATGAAGATTGTGATGATCATGATGCTGACGTGCTGAGAAAGACTGATGCACAAGATGATAAAGATGAAGATGATGACAAAGATTGCTGAAGATGCTGACGATGATGTTGATGACGCTAGCAATGACAATGATGATGAGTGATGATACTTATGTTCTTGTACTCATATGAAGAAACCCCAAAGCTCAGTAAATGGTCATGGCGTCTTCACCTGGTGAGCACATACCTTTGTTTTTCTTCAATAGCTGACTCGATCTCCGGTCGCCTCGCTTCTCTCTCTTAAATAACAACGAGGGAGGTGGGTGGAAAATGCCTCTCGCTCAAATGCTTTTATAGTCTCACGTGACCATTCCCTGACCAAAAGAGTCAAAAGAGAAGGCTGAAAACGAGTCAGCTTCGTAAGAGCAAAGTCAAAGACCTATTACTGAAACTAGAAGTGTCAGGGAAAACAAGCTTTGAAAAGGAGAAGATTTGACTTGCCTCAGTCTTAAGCTTTCCGTGCTTTACTTATTAAAGCTGTAAAATGCAAAGGAAGAACAGAAATCGCAGTCTGGAGTACGATACCATGGGTTATAAACTTCATAAAATGGATCAGTTTTGCTTTATTCAATTGCATATAAAACAAAATAGAAGTGGGAATAAACATTGAAGGCGCCTGCCCCTATGATCGGGATAAATTTTAAGGCCGCTATAAAAAAATACACCACGGAAATACTCTACAGCTATAGTGAAATAAACTTGGGAGATTCTTAATATTTAAAAATTTAAAAAAGGTGAATCAAACTGTTTCGTCCCAACAGCACCAATGAGGAAAAGGTGATTCAAGAGTCCATAAATCATATTGGAGGAAGGCTGTGGACGTACTTGCACTACTCTACCATCCTACGTCGAGGAGAAACTAAGCAAAGTAGCCTGCGAGCAAGCTCTCCTATTTGGGCAAGCGAAGCTCGCAGGCTATAAGCAAAGTAAACATTAAACTACGATAGATACAATTACTGATTTAAGTAAAGCCCATGTTTAAACAGACTGCTTTTCGCACCGGTCTTCGTTGACTCGACAATTTGTTCTTCTTCCAAGCTTTTGTCTCATTTATTTTACTGTGTAGATAATTCAATAACTACCCTAATTTAGTTTCGGAATCAAACAAAATTTGCAAGCACAAACAGATGCTGACAAAATCAATCGATCAATCAATACACTCAGTTTAGGGACTGACCATTAGAAAACTTACAGGGGGAGACAAAGTACAAAAAATACTCGTGCATGCAAGGGAAAATTAACTGAAATATACACATGCACGCCAAGTAACTCTAAAAAATATTCAAGCACTGGCCTAAAACAAGAGCATAATTTAAATCCTTACTTATTTCAAACACATTTGAGGGGGGGGGGGGGGGCTTAATAGGGACGGGGGGCTTATTTGATTTAGCTAAGACGATGGTATCAGCCGTCCATAAAGAACTAGAATACTAAGTGGAAAAACTCAATTACAAGAAGTTAGAGGTTACACAGCCGAGGATCATATACAAATCCAACCTTCAAACGCGTGAACAAACAATCCTGGATCAGTCCAAATGAAGTTTTACAGTCGTGATTGATCGATAGAGTATCACTTATTAGTGAACAATAATTCGGTCGGTTGGAAGGGGGCTTATTATCTTTCTTCCCCTGAAAGGGGGGGGGCTTGTTAGAGAGGAGAGGGCAGAGAGGGGAGCTAATAGAGGATTTACAGCAAATAGGCAAATGCAGGAGCCTATGCGTGAACACATGTTCCACTTATGACGTCATCATTTGAAGAAACCAGTAAGCGGTAGTTTGGCAAATGAAGAGAGACTTCCGGCTAAATGATCAAGCTTCCTGTCGGGGCCCTTCCGGTTGACTCGTGACCATATTTACTTATGTCACATTTTGGCAATCCGGTGGAAAACCAGACAACCGAGATGAAGATTTGTAAAATGGGGTTGACAGGCCTACACGACTCCCCAGCGCGTGTTTAAAATAGCCTTTTCATAGTTTGGCTCTCACGAGTATGTCTTTGAGCGACCGCCCTCTTTTGTAAGATACGAGGGGCGGTTTTTTGTAGATTTCGCTCAGTAATGATTGTTTTTCTATTTAATGCCAGTTTTTCATGAGAATTTCCTTTAGGTTAGGCACTGATGGTTGATATTGTGTGACAAAAGGCAAGATTCGTAGGTTTGTCTTTGGTTTATGTTGTAGGGCTAGTTTCCTGTCTCTGAAATTCACCTCTGAGAAAGTTGTGTTAATGAGATCCTCTGGGTAACCTCTCTGTAGCAGATGCGCCTTGAAATTTGTAATTTTCTCTTCGAATATTATTTTGGAAGAGTTTGTTTTGGAATTAAAAAAATCTGAAGATTCGTGGTAGTGCCTGAGTATCCCGGCCCGCGTTGTTCTGTGAATGCTTTTTTAAAATATTTTTCTTGTTATATCACTTAATGCTTCGTATTTTTAAGGCGCGGAAATTGGGCATGGGATTTTTGGGGGGTTAAGTTTTGGCCCAGGGATTTTTTGGGTATTATTGGAACTGCTAGGGATAGTTTTTGGTCTTGATTTTTGCCCCCATTCAATCATCCACGTCTCTTGGAATCCGGAGTACCCTCGCTCGGATGCTACTATCATTGATACAATGTGCGCAATAAAAGTGGGTACAATATATATTCCCATACATCAATCACCTACCTCAGCGGTTAAGGACACCGCTGACTCGTTAATTGAATTCACCGTATTTTGAGTACTGTATATGTGAGCCATACATGACATGCTACCTTGGCCTTGTAGCCAACCGCTGACCATATTCCTTTGGATAATGGCAAGCACAGGAAAGCCAGGAGCAGTCAGCATCAAGTGTTGAGTAAGAACATCAAACAGTTATGGAGAGTGACAGACTCAGAGCCGGAAAAAGATATTATATTCTTGTTCAAGATCGTGTGGGCAGTATGCAAGAGAGAATCGTGTTGCCTTTTGGTGCAATGGAGTCGACACCTACACAGGTATTAAAAGGAGAGTTATTGGAGGCTCTTCCAGAAACAGAGCAACCTAACGACTCAACAAGAATGGCTCTTACTGGAAATGATCGGAAACGTATTCGTCTTGAATGTCGTACAGAAGACACAACGCGACTTACGATCGAAGATGCTAACCTACTCTTGGCTATTTCTTCAGTAGGTTTGAGATATCAGTCTTTTATTGATAGGAAACGTTTAGATTTCGGGAGACAGATCTCACCCGGAAGTCAAGTGTTCGTGGAAGTGAAAGGATTTTCCAACAAATTACACGGATTGGTTTGGTACATTGGTGAATTGCCCTCCTTTCATGGAACCATGTTTGGTGTAGAGTTGTTGGTAAGTAAGCTTAATACCACTGATTTACCACTTTTTCAGTTCAAGCTATGTCAGTATTCACACCTTTTAGCGATTCAGACCTATAATAGAAATGGCAGTTCTGTAGTTAACAGGCTGATTGCTCACCATTATAGCACTAGAAATTTTCTTTCAAATAATAATCAACCCAGAACTAGCTTAAGCCTGAAACCCCGACCCTGTTTAGGACAAAAAAATTCCCCAAATACAAACCCTTTATTACCCTGTTTAGGACAGACTTGGGCAAAATTTTTATACCCTGTTTAGGACAAACTGGCACAAAATTATATACCCTTTTTAGAAAAGACTCGCCAGAAATTATAATCCTGTTTAGGACAGAGGGGACAAAAACCATAATTATCCCATTCAGTGACATATCCCCATATAGGCCGTATAAGGGAGTACCCCCAAGACTGGTCCATTGATCCACCATCTGAGAAGATTTTGCCTTAATCGTCCCCTGGATTGCCATGATCCCTTTATACCAAATCCATCTCACAGACTGAAATTTCACGCATCAACATTATATAACATAAAACATACTTACATGGCACTCCGTGAGCAAATGTTCGTGTCACCCTTGCTGTAAAAACCTGTGAAATTTTTGTTTGTTTTCTAGCTATTATTTTCCTTGGCTCTTAATTATGTTGACTTCTCAATGGCTTCTTTGTATTAAATGTTTTTTGTCATACTCATGAGGTTCACAGGTTTTACATTGATTATGAGCCAAAGTTTCATTAGGTGGTAAAATATTATTATAGCACTTTATTCATGAGTGACAAGTTGCACCTTGTTGTCACAGCTCGATAGCTGCAACCTACAACCCTGAACAAAACCAGTTAAGACACATTAAAAAATACCTATGTTTTGCACTTGTCCTCCTGCAACAAATATGACAACCGTCACAAATTAGAAGACTGTCCCCCCACCTCTATTCCAATGTTGTTAGCGGTAACACAAGAAATGAACATGTGCAATTTGGCTGTTAGACTTTGTTCTGTTTGGAGGATTAACTGGAGATTGGTCCATGGTGCAAAATTGAAAAATACATGCAAATGTCTCAACAGTCTTGTATGGGGTTGTAGTTTTTTTATTTTATTTTTCATTTTTTTGTGCACGTGATCTAGGGTTTGTCGTGTGTTAGCACAGTATTTGCCATTAGGGCATGGGTAGTAAATTGTAAGAGAGGGGTTAGTTGGCGGCCATACATTAAAGCGTGCTTTGGTTCAATCCGTGTGTGTGTTTATATCTGGTTAAATCCATGCTTACCTGGTCCATCCGGGTGGGATACCACAACTGGTGACAAGGATAACTGTAGGACAGTTTATTTTTTTGTAAATTAATGGCCGTGGCAATTCAAGGAAATCTGGGTGGAATATCCAGCTTTGATCTTCATGGTCACCCGACTGCTTTTTGAGCAAGGTGGAAGAATTGGAAGTGTGTTCATTCAAATCATTTAATGGAGGTGAGGGAGTTACAAACGCAGCAGAAAAGAAAGCTCTTCTTCTGTGTATTTTACTTTCCCTCCTGCTCGTCAGCCAGGTGAACGTGAAAATGTTTACACAGTTGCAATCGAACAGCTGGACCAGTACTTTCCTCCCCAGGTAAAATGTTCCCTACCAAAAAGCATAATTATTTTCTGTAATGACTCAATCACCTACAGAATCAGTTGATCAGTTTATCATGAGGTTGAGAGAAAAAGCAGATTGCTGTGAATTTGGTGAAACGGCAGGTTAGAACATTCATGATCAGGTGATTGAAAAGTGTTTGTCCAGTCGATTACGAAGAAAACTATTGGAAAGAGGAAGGGGCCTGACTTTAAACAATCTTCAAACGATTGCAAGAGCCATGGAAGCCAGCGACAGACAGGCAGGCAATATAGAAAACTCAAATCAGGCAAAACTTGGGCTGAACGCTATCCAAGGTAAACAAGAATTAGAAAGAAGATGTTTTATGGGAGACAACTCTGGTCATATGCAAGATGATAAGAAGAGTGTCCTGCTAGAAACAAGGAATGTCTTATTGAAGTGCCATAAGGTAGGCCATTTTGCTAAATGTTGTAAGATGAAGGAGACTAAATGCTCCAAGGAGAAGTGGCCTAGTAAACCAAAGGGACATAAAGGAACTGTTAACCAAATGAACTTTAAGTATTATTCAGATGACGAAAATGAATATGCATTTACCATCAATGATGAGAAACAGCCTATGGTTTTAGTGAATATTGGAGGTCTACCCAATGTGTCTATGAATTTGTTGACTCTGGTGCAAGTTGTTATGTAATTGACCGTCAGTTGTGGGAATCACTAAACAAAATAAAGTGAAGTGGCAGCAGTGAACCATTGAAAACAGCTGGTTGTTTCATGGCTAAAGTAGCAGTTGAAGATGTTGCTGTTGATCAAAGCAGAGTTTACTGTAATTGAGGGTAAAGGACCAGGCATTGCTAGAAAGACAGACAGCCACACAGCCTGTAAAGTTTTAAGTCTGACAGTCCAAACATTTGTATAACTCTTTGCAAGAAGAGAACTTATTTCAGAAATACAAGTCATGTTTTCAGGGCCTGGGAAAGTTGAAAGATTTCCAGCTGAACATTCCCATTGATCCATGTGTCAAACCAGTAGTTCAGCCTATTTGTTGTGTACCCTTTAGTCTAAGGGATAAATTGGAAAAGAAGCTTAATGAGCTGGTGGACCTTGATGTAACTGAGAAGGCAGAGGGACCAACCCCGGGGATTTCACTTGTAGTTGTTGTTCCTAAACCCAATGGTGACTTACGTCTGTGTGTTGATATGTCATAATTAATATTATGCAGGCAAGCAAACAGTGCAATAGTCAGAGAGCAACACCCCATTCCCACAGTGGATGAAATTCTGCATAATCTTGTAAGTCTTCACTATTTAGTTAGACAGTCATAAAGTGGGCTTTTCACCAAGTTGAACTGAGTGAAGAATCCAGACTGATCACCTCATATGTCACCCATAAGGGACTCTTCCGGTATAAGAGATTGATGTTGGAATCAGCTGTGTCCCTGAAATGTATCAGCGAGTAATACAACAAGCGTATTAGGCTGTGAAGGTGTGAGAACCATAAATGATGATTATCATAGTGCATGGAAAGACAGCCGAACAGCATGACATGCAACTTGAAAACGCCTTGGGATTAGGATCCAGGAAAAGGGTTTAATGCTAAACAAGGAAAAGTGCAAGTTCCACATGTCCGTAGTGAGATTGAGTTAATGGGACATCTGCGAGGTATTGGACCTACCCAAGCAAATTTTGAGGCAGTCACAGAAGCATGTTAGCCAGAATTGGTAGCAGAAGTGTGCAGCTTCTTGCGTATTGTTAACTTCTATGCCACATTCATCCCCGATCTGGCTACAATGTCTGAGCCTTTAAGCAGACTCACAAGAAAAGATGTACACTGTACTGTATTCAGTAGGGCAACAAACAAGGCAAAGCATTCAATGCGTTAAAGAAGAGGCAAGCAAATACAGAGACCCTGGGCGATTTCTACAAGGATGCAGAAACCTGCCTCATAATCGATGCTAGCCTGAGATCATGCCCTCTCCCTATTATCCCTTTAGGTCTCTCATGGGAAGAGGGCATGATACACTTCTTTGTCGGATCACATGTAAAAAAGCCAGAATCTGAACTTTTTTCTGATTGGTTAGGAAACAAATATACGGATGATTAATTTTGCGCTGTTCCAATTGGCCAAAATGCAGCCATCCGTTAGTTGTTGTTGATTTCAGTCTGCATTTTTGCTTGCGTAATGAGCAGTGAATACACCGTAGGGGTTACTAAAACAAGGAATGACCTACAATGACCTACAATGACCTACAATGATCTACAATGATCTACAATGACCTACAATGAGCTACTATGACCGAACGTGTAATCCCTGCAATGAGCTAAAATGAAGATTTCAGAAAAAGACAAAAAAAATGATCAGGGGACGTGTGTAGTAGTTACTTAAACAAGGAATAACCTACAATGACCTACAATGGCCTACAATGACCTACAATGATCTACGATGAGCTACTACGAGCTACAATGAGCTGCTACGAGCTAAAATGAGTTAAAATAAGCCCTACGAGCTATAAAATGACAGACAATGATGTTTGTCGTGTGTCACGCTTGGACGTGACACTAGGCTCATGGTATTAGATTGCCAAGCCAATTTGAAAAGGCATAACAAAAATTGTGCCTGAACTCAGGTAACTTGAGAAACTTGAAAATAGATTATCGCAATCACGTTTTTACCGGTATAGCACTATTATACCCTGTATTGATGGAAGTCATGCAGGCACTCCCTTATTTGGCCTAGATGGGTATGGGCCGCTGAGCAGGATATGGATTTTACTATTTAGCGTTACAAACAGAGCATCCTGTTAGACCAAAAGCCATTTAAAGGGTCTTATGATGTCTTATACAGGCCAGGGTACTTAAAAAAAATGAACAATTTTTCTTTTGAACAGGGTCAGAATTTGAAGGCCTCCGTTGTTCATCTCTACCTTTACGTCCCTTGAAGATCCCCCCGGATCAACTGTTGGGGTGACTGTGTTTGTTCAATTTGTTTGAAAAAAAGACAAGACAAAATAAAACTATTGCGAAAGGTTGCAAGGGATGGTTTGGACAAAAGTCACAGTATCATCATACATGTATTATTACACTGTAAATTTATCTCCAAGTGTAATAATTAGAGATGCTGTCATCGTTAAATGGGCTGTCATGCAGTAGACTAAACGTGTTACGTTTACGCACACATGTCCCCTGATCTTTTTTTTGTCTTTTTCTAAAATCTTTGTTTTATCTCGTTACAAGGATTACACATTCGGTCATAGTAGCTCATTGTAGGTCATTGTAGATCATTGTAGGTCATTGCAGGTCATTGTAGATCATTGTAGGTCATTGTAGGTCATTCCTTGTTTTAGTAACTATGGTGAACACACATGTGAGCTCATTATAACATTTCTGTCGACTCAGTTTTCTTGAATTTGAAGAATGCCTAAATAGAAATTTCATCCATTGAAATATTTTCCATCTGATCGTATACTAAAAAGTTGCAGTCAAAAATTTACCGATCATTTGAATGCAATTTGATACCCGCTACAAGTTACAGAAGCAACAAACGGGTTCACTTTTCAAGTAATCAATTCATGAATGGAATCTTGACTTGGTTTGACTGTAATTCCTCGTTCAGAAACCTGCGAATTATTCTGAGCGATCTTGCTTTCACAACACCTTTCAGTTCGTAAAATGTGGTGCTTCAGCCTAACTTTTTTTTTCACTGCTTTCGGCACAGAAAATTGTTTTCAAAAGAGACATTCTTCGTGCCAAAATTTGATTCCCATATGGTAAACGCTTATTGGCTAATAACATGACAGGTCAAGCAGACGTTAGATTATGTAAATTAGGGGGCGGTTAACGGCTTGTTAAATGAATGTATCAGGCATTATTTTTTTTCCCTCTCGAGCCAAAGAAACAAAGAAGCAAATAAATAAATAAATAACGCCTGATCTCAGGTTAAATCGATGCCTGCCTTGTAGGCCTAGGTGCAGTCTTGACACAAGTACAGAATGGTGAAGAGCGAGTGATTTGTTATGCTAACCGAAGTCTAACAGACGTCAAAAGACGCTATTCATAGACTGAAAGAGATTAACTTTGGGTATTGTATGGGCATGTGAGCGACTACACATGTACTTGTATGGAACAGACTTTGAAATCCGAACAGATCACAAGCCCCTGGAACTTATTTACTCATTGACAAGGAAATCACACCCAAGTGCAAGATTCAGTTGGTGGATATTATGATTGCAGCCATATAGCGTACTGTTTTACAGTGAGACACACCCGAGGGAAAGAAAACATTGCAGATACTTTATCTCACCTCACAGATCAGCACACCAAATCATGTGCGAAACTGTGCACCGAAACCAATGGTATGTGAGGTTTATTGCTGAAAATGTAACTCCATGTGCCCTAGTGGACCAAGAACTGTCTAATGTCAGAGAGTGTATTCAAAAGAGACAGTGGGAGACACTTGAAAACAAGCGATACTTGATGGTCAGGAGTGAACTTTCTGTCATTGGAAAACTAGTACTACGAGGAACTCGGATCCTTCTAAGTCCCTTCTAGCTTGTGAGAAAGAGTACTGAATCTTGCTCGTGAGGGCCATCCAGGGAAAGTGTTAATGAAACACTGACTCCGTACAAAAGTTTGGTGGGCAAATTGTGACAAGGATGCTGAAAGATTCTGTAAGTCATGCCCTCCTTGCCAAATGGTTTCCATACCACCACCACCAGAACCACTCAAGAGAACAGAGCTCCCATCAGGTCCATGGCAACATATCTCAGCAGATCTTACGACTCTATCACTACCTTAAGGAGACCACCTGTTTGTAGTTGTAGACTACTACAGCCGATATATAGAAGTACAAGTTCTGAAGCCTACTACAAGGAAATAAATGTCAAATTTCACAAAATGACATCTTTCACATGAAATTTTCAGAATTTTACCTGTGTTTTCACAATTCTTGTAAAATTTGACATTTATTTTCTCGGGCTCCCATGAGAAATAGTCTTTGGTGTTATTAAAAACAACTAATAATTTAGTTATCTATAGTCCTTGAGAAATGTAAAAAAGAATGCAAAATTGTTTAAATTATTCTGGTACAAGGTTTTTGTCTGCTGAAACTTGAAATTACTCAATTTCCTGATGGATTCCATCTTAAAGTAATTTTTTCCCATTATTATCAATTTAAAAGAATCTAATTAAATTACTCAAATCTTTCAAATTTCTACTTAAGACCATGGGCTAGTTAAGACATTTTAATAGCCCGACATCATTTTTAGTCGCCTTGGGCAACAGGGCTATCGGAGATGTTGAACCCTTGTTTTTGTCCTAAACAGAGTCTGGGTATTGCATGATTGAGTTGATTTGTTCAATGAAACTTGTCTGTGTTCCAAGTATACAAAGGCAATGACTATAAAGTAAATATTGTCAGTTGCAATTGCCAATAAATGACTTTAGGATATTTTTGGTCCTAGTCTGCAGAATGAGAGTTTCAAACCCTCAGCAGGTCATCTCTACCCAAAATTAACTACCGCCAAGGTAAGGGGGGGGGGGGGGAGGCATTTGATCACTTTGATCACCTAAAATAGACCAGTGATGGGCCATTTGAATGGCTTTTGGCTCAGTTAATTTTATTTGATTGAGACAGTGCTAGGAAAAGACGCACCCATTTGGAAGTGATAACTGGGCTTGCTCTTGTTTCGTTTTGTTTTTTGTTTGCAGCAAATTTAGTGATCCTTAATATACAAAAATAGTTCCACGATTGAAGCGATTTGCTAAAGGAGGGTCTCCAATAGGTTTATGGGTCCAGGATTTGCTTTATTTGAAGGCCAGGACTGTTTTTGGATTTAAAAGCATATTGGAGGGGGTAATAATTTATTCCAAAATGCCAGTATGCAGAGGTGGGATGCCCATAAAAACCATTGGGATTAGGAATTGAGCAAGATTCTGGAGTGGGATGACAGGATTATAGAACATAACCTGATTTGGGACCCCTTGTAAAGAGTGATTGTGTAGATAGACATATTTTTGGTTTAATCAGTCACAAGCTGCCCATCCCCCACTGTATGGAAGTTTGTTGGGCTGTTATTGTCAGAGATAATGCTTAAGGCTGTGCCTGGTAAATGGATGGTTAATATGGCATTAGAACAAACAGTAATATATTATTTTTTTCATTATTTTGAGTTTGTCATGTAATCTTGGATTTAGCTGTTGGTTGTGTAATTTCCCAGGCACATTACAGACACTTGCTGAGTCAGATCTGTGGGATGGGGTACTCTTTACTTCTGATCTTGATCTTGTTTTGTCCTTGTTTCTTTTTTTTTGTCATTTTAATAAACAAAAGATCCATAATTTATTGTCCCTCATTTAAATTGGACTCGGTCAAATAGACCAGAGTTTGTCATTGCCCATTGGTAAGATATTTTATTGGCTTATTCTCCGTTTGGTACGCAGTCATTTTTGCATTGGGTTATTTTTGGTGTTTTTTGATGGGTAAAAATCTTTGTATTTTGTTTTAATTAGGACAGTTCTGACTATGCCAGCAGCTGATGGGTTAATTTGTTCATTTAAGATTTGTTTGATATCTTTCTTACGTAAATGCAGTATTGGTACAATGTTGTATTGAGTTTTTAATACTTTTTCACGTCAAACTAAAGTAAGGACTGTTTTGTTGTTTAATGTGGCAAACATCACAAGTGCTGTGTGCTAAACTGCTTGCTGTTAAGATTTATATTGGTTTTTCTTTTTCATTTTAATACCTTCTAGAAAAATCTTGGCCAAGGAACATCAGATGGTACATTCAGGAACAAGCGATATTTCACGTGTCCCCCAGACTCAGGAGTTTTTGTTGCTCTTGATAAACTTACACCTATTGAGGATTCAGACTCAAAATCACCTACATCTCCAAAGAGAGATGAAAGTAGTCCAAGTAGTTTTGCTTCAAGAGTGATTCCTTCTTTATTTAAAGGGAAAAAATATCATAAGCAGAAGGTACATATATCTCGGAAAGGATCTGATCATACAGTTAAAATTGATGAACGAGTTGTAACATTTGCTGGTGATGCTCCTGTCAGAGGAACTGTTCGTTATATTGGTAAGGACAAAGACTCACATGGACAAGTTCACACCCTTGTAGGATTAGAGCTGGTGAGTTAATGTAGTTGTTACATGTAGAATTCATACACTTCAACTTGCTCGAAAAGCACTCTTATATCTTTTCAGTTCTTTCTAAATTAAGCTTATAGTGTAGACTTTGGTATCTAACGGCCTTGGGGGATATTGATGTACATGTATATAATTATTCCCCGGAAATGACGTACATGAGAGAATGAGAATACCAAATACAAATTTGAATGGCAATATGCAGGGAATTTATTTCTTTATTCATTTTGCAATGAAGAGCATGCTTGGTGACGACTTTGCTGGAAATAAAAAGTTGCTCAAAAATTGCCGGATTTTGATGCAAGTCTTAAAGCTTTGTTGTTCTTTTTTTAGAAGAATTTTAACTTCAAATGAGTATAATTTTCAGTTTTTCTCTAATCTTGGTTTTTAAACTCGTGGATACATGAAGGATATCTGCCAGTTGTTGAGGTGGCTGTGATACCGGTATGTTCTCATCATGAAAACAATGTATTGTCGTTGTTACCGATGTGCCCATTAAGTTCACCCCCGTGAGAGAGACCTGTGAAAAAGGCTTTCACACTCGCAATCTTTGCCCAAGTTCGCTGCGAAAGAAACAACACTTTCTTTCCATTCTATCAGTTCTGTCCGTTCTTTAGGTCGTGTATATACGCTACACTGAAGTATTTCGATCATAAACCCTGAAAAGTTTTAAATTTCTAGTAACATTTCAAAGTAATTAGAGCATCGGTCAGTATAAAAGACGGACTGCGGACTGCGGACCACGGACTGCGGACTGGGTATAAAATACGGACTAGGTATAAAATGCCGACTCTGGACTGAGTATAAAACACGGACAAGGTATAAAACGCGGACTACGGACTATGTGTATAAAAACAGCTTTAGAAGGTAAAACTGAGAGAAATAGAAAGCGGACTAGCAAAAACGGGAGTCCCAGCTTTAACATTCCCTTGGCTGTTCACGTAGTCTATTCTTCCCACGGAGAAGGAAGGTTATGCCGGTACTCAAGGCAACTGAAGTTAAACTCTGAATTTTATAAAAAGGAGTTTGAAGAGATTTCAGTTTGCAGTTTTAAACCAATAAGAAGCACCGAATTAAAAAAAATAGTATTGGTGTTAGTCAGATCAGTAAAATTCTTATCGGATGCCACAATTCCGTTTCAAATAAAGCCTTGGGAATATGAGGACTGAATGAAGAACTCAGACGAGAAGGTCAATGCCATGCACAAAAGCAGTATTTAGGTGGGAGGGATTACTCACATACGTGAATAATAACCGAAATGAGTCATGCAACGTTATATTCTAAGCGATGATTATGATAAGATGATTTACACGCTGCTCCTGATCCCCGGAGGGGGGTACTACTGGTAATTCTTGGTGGGGGTGTAGTGCCCGGTTCTCCGAATCCTGACCTTATTCCAGACCAAAAACTTGTCATTTTCCACACCCGTTTTCAGACTAGATGTCTAAAATCCATACCCATTTTCGGACCTGGCCTTATTTAGCCTGTCCCAGGTTCTCAGATAGTTGGGGAAACTCCCCAGTTTTCTCCCGTTTTATTTTCGTGTTTTCGCTTTCTGAATTCAGCGGACCCAACTATCTCAGAGCCTTGAACAGGTTAGTCCTAATTAGGCAAAAATTTTGTCATCATTACCAAGTTAGAGCGGAAACAAAAAAATTCTCCAAATGTATTTCGAATTCGCACATTTCTATTTCGTTCTCATTCATTTGGAATTGAAACGATAAATACGTCCATTCATGTACGCTCCCGTAGTTCCCTCGAAAACCATACCTGATTCCACGCCAAAATGGGCAAAGTGTTTTCAGACCAAAAAGGCCCAAACCCCCTACCCTTCCATTATAGAAGGGAGTACCACCCCTGATCCTGACCCCTTTCATGATTGTCAGAGACCAAGACAAGGTCTAAAAATGGGTGAAGAAAAAAGCATTTTGATCCGGCTCATGATTCAGAGAACCGGGCGGGACACCTCCACCAAGAATTTATAGGAGTATTTACAACTTTAACTCACGTGTCTTGCTATTTAGCGATCTTTTGATCTTATTTGTCCTTACCTAGAACCAATTTGCACGGTTTTTACCAAAGTAGTCCGTAGTCCGTATTTTATACCAAGTCCGCAGTCCGCACCTTGTCCGTGTTTTATACCCAGTCCGTATTTTCTAGTCCGCGTTTTATACCTAGTCTATATTTTATACCCGGTCCGCAGTCCGTAGTCCGCAGTCCGCAGTCCGCAGTCCGTGTTTTATACTGACGAGGGGGGCGTAAGGGGGGTCCGAAAACCGCAAAACCGCACAGAAATACGCCAAAAAACCGCAATCCGCATCGGATTTTTTCCCGAATACCGAAACCGCGCGTACATGTAGGCCACAATATGAAAGCCGACGTCAGCAAGACTTGTGATATATTCTGATATAGACTACGAGTAGTCCCCCATTTTTCCTCAGGGATAGTAGAGCGAGCAAAACGCGAGCACGCGTGAAAATCACCCCACGCGAGAAAAGGCGACACGCGGCGGGGAGAGAGAAAACTGAGGGACTACAGACAAAGCCCAAGCTTTTGACCCTTTACGGCCGACTGATTTTGGAGTGTGTTTTTCTCTTTCCCCGCCGCGTGTCGCCTTTTCTCGCGTGAGGCGATTTTCACGCGTGCTCGTGTTTTGCTCGCTCCACTATCCCTGAGGAAAAATGGGGGACTACTCGTAGTCTATTCTGATAACATTGTGCGTTAGTATTAAACATACCATCATAACGCTAACGATATATTGTACTACACTATTATACTCTATTTACTACTAACCAAATGCCAAGTATGCTGGTCATGTACTTGAACGAGTATTTATATCTCCCTTGACTTTGAAAAACTCTGTTTCTGATCCTGTACGTCTTACATTGGGTGACTGATTACTTTGGACGAGCCTGTGCTAGTTGTGGAACGCGGAATAAATATTTCTTCTGGAATTGTGACCTTCTTGTCTCGTAAAGAGTTCACGTTCAGTGGAGAAGAAGATTGTTAAAACGTACACCTCTTCTGAAATTCTCCCCTTCCTTTCCTTCTTCATAGAAGATTGCCACGCAATTAATTATTACGTCCTCTTCGCTTTCAGTTGCGACCTCGAAGACCTCAGTTGCCATTGTCGCGCATTGAATCAAAGAGAACACGAGGCTGTACGGCTGTAGGAGCTAACATCCGGCATAGAATTTCACGAAGCGGACGCATCATTGGCCAAAACGGTTAATCACATTAAGGGACAGTGTCCCGATTATGCGCACGCGCGAGCGTCATCTGTTTTTTCTTCAAAAGACAATAGAACTGTCATATTGACTCGACAAGATTTCCTTCCGGACCGCACCGCCGACAGAGATTTGTTGTTTATATTCTCAAGTAATATTTTAGACTTTCAAAGAAGTCTTTCGTCTTATATAAAAATTTGGCTTGCGGTTCAAAGAGTTATCGCGATTTTATCGCTAGCTGGGCCGCCTCGCGACCCGAAAATCTCGTTCCGCTCGCTTTAAAAACATATTTTCTAATTTGAAACTCGTGTCAGAGGTCATTTGTCCCCAGTCCAGTAATATCTGCCTGATTTGCTCGCGTTAGCCTCAAACCTTTGAAAGACATAAATAAAAATGCAATCTCAACGCTATGAATCATCAGAAAGGTTAGTCAAAAATTATATTATGATTTCATGGCACTAGTTTTCCTAAACATGTAGCGCCTGTTTGTTTGATTTTTTCGGCCGTTAGGGAGATTCATTTAAAAAAGTTTACTAACGCGTCGTTGCAAAACATTCTGCTTCACGAAGCTCCCCTCCACAAGATCTCCTCAGTCACATCAATGTCTCAATGGTTTCTTTCTTACAGTATTTATTGTTGCCGTTTCATTTCTGCGTATTCCTTTCACAATTATCTGAGCTTGTATGGAAGCTAGCAGCAGAAATAAGCCTTCAATCGGCATCAAAGTGCTTCCAATCTTTTGGTCCTCCGGCCAACGGCAATAAAAGTAACGCCAAAAAAATTTTGCCCAAATCGAAACTTAACGGGAACAATATATCATTGATCTGTAATCCTGAGAAGTTTTAGTGTCGTATTGAACCCGGTCAAGCGCGATGCAAACGGATTTTTCAAGGTTCTCTTACTCTCCTCGCATCTTTTGATTTCGCGACATCCTGTCCAAAAATCAAAGTTTGGTGCATGCGCAGTAACGGGATACTGTTCCTTTAAGTATTAACTGGAAAAGGTCGTAATTGCAAACCACAGAGTTAAATTGTAAGCTGACATAATGAACCCTGATGCGTTGTAAAACAAAACACTTGGCTCGCGCCTGCAAAACAACCGGATGCCGACCGTTCTAAAGAGTTATCACCGCAGACACTTTTTTTTTCACCGAAAACCGCGACTTAAAGGTTGTAATAACCGCAAAACGCTTAGTGTTTTGAAACCGCAATACCGCGAGTTAAAATAAAAATTAACGCAAAACCGCACCAAAAATAACGCAAAACCGCATCACCGCAAACCCTTACGCCCCCCTCACTGACCGATTAGAGCATTGCCAATAAATCGCGGTATCAACGAGGTTTATTGTTTATGCCCAAAACTTCGCAGTGTTTCTAGCACGGGCTCCAGCGAGGAATGGATTACAGTTTCCCGGGAGAGTGGAGAAAAGAGCTGGACAATCATAAGATAACTGGGCTGGTCTCAACGGATTTGTTTTGTCAAAAACGTTCGATATACACCTAATTCCAAAATGGCGGTCGGGCGGGATGATCTGGGGAGAGCCGCGCGGAAACGAGGCATCGAGGGCCAGGTCAAACATAACAACTATGGCGTCCTGCGCGTATGGTCCATCGTATTTTAATCAGAAGAAGACATTCCTGGCAGTTCTTTGAACGGCAGGGATCCGAATCGGTTGAAAAATAGCGAGCTTCAATTTTAGTTAAAGTGCCGTGGTGATTCTTGTAAAGGTTTAATCACCAAAGCACAACTTTGCAAGCGGTAAGTGATATTTGTTTTGCGTCGCAATTTGTCGTTGCTAAGGGACCTTAATGGTAGGCGCCTAATTCTCTCTGTTCTTTTACAGCGTGAATGAGTATTTGAATGCCAACACCGATCATCTTCTGGTCGACCCGGACGTAAATATCGTCTATAGCACGCGAAAAAGACAGCGGTTGAACCAAGATACTGCTCCTCAGCCGGTGCAAGCTGACGAGATGCTGAAGACGAGGCAACAAACGTGTCGTTCCCAGCAAATGGATGATGATGATGTGCCCCATGATCGCACACGCCTACCATATGAAAACACCGAATGATCTTGCCGCCGGCCCTCGATGCCTCGTTTCCACGCCGCTCTCCCCAGATCGATCCGAGCGACCGTCATTTTGGAATTAGGTGTATTCTACCATATGATCTGATTGTTCTCAAATTTGGAAATATGAACCTGATGAGAAAACAGTTGACTTGATTAAAGATTACTGATCGGATCGTCAACAACGCGTGAAAATCGGAAACGCGTTGTTTCGTGGCAGACAGTCTTTACAGGAATTCCCCAGCGATCAATACCGGGACCGCCAATATTCAATATTTTAATGAATGATCTGCACTGCGCAATTAAGCACACCACTTTGTCAACCTATGCTGACGAAATGCAAATTTTCTATACAGGAGATTTTCGGTTACGGAAGTTGAAGTAGTCTGCTACACAGCCGTTTTTAGTGTGACGACACTGAAAACGGTTGTGTAGCAGACTAAAGTTGAAGCGGCCAATGTAGCACAAATCTTGGTAGGATAGAAAAATGGTACGATGAAAATGAAATGAGAAGAAATCACGAGAAATACAAGGCAATGGTTTTAGGAAAATCCTGTATTTAAATGTTACAACACTTGCAACAGAAAACGAAATTGACCTACTCAGAGTGACTGTGGATAGAAAGTTAAAGTTTGAGTCCCACATTGCCAAAATCTGCCCGGGTGATTTGGCGTGATCTACCTATCAGACAATGTTAAAGAAAAGCGGACAATAGGGCCATTTATACGAGGAAAAATAAGACGCGTCTTACATAAGACGCGAACTGTACCGTTTATACGAGCATGTCTTATCTGAGACAAGAACAGCTCTTATAAATGGTTCGCGTCTTATTTCTGTTCTTGACTCGTTTTCATGTGAATGTTGCCCGTAGCAACGGCAATCCAACGTGGGGCGCCAAAAATTTACGCATGCGTACTATACGTTCGCGTCTTATGTAAGACGCGAAGGTCATTTATACGAAGTTTTTCTCGTCTTAGCTAAGACGCGTCTTATCTAAGAACAGGTGTTAAGGGCTGTTGTAAAATAAGACGCGTCTTAGCTGAGCCGCGTCTTAGTTTAGACAAAATGTGCCGTTTATACGGAAAGTTCGCGTCTTATTTTTCCTCGTATAAATGGCCCTAATATCTCACAAACCAAAGACTGGCCAAACGTTTAGGAACGGTTCGTAGAATTTGAAATCAAAATAGGAAAGATTTAAATACACTTGAAGCGCCTGTACATCTTTCAGATTTAATAACATAACAGGCTTATTTTAATTTCAAAGGTATACGACATTTTCATTGCTCAGTTGTTCTGCAAACTATAATTAGTCAATAAAATTATCGAGGGAGGCTGGTCTGTTAGGTCCGTTTCAAACGTCAAAGCTGCTGACAAGCCGAACTCAATTGATCGAATGAAGTTCGATTTTGCTCCACAGAAGCATGACGTTTACAACCAAGCCCTGCTACGGCCGTGCCTAACTTAGTTTAAGTGCATTACAACGCTTTGTTTTCGACAACAGCTACACAAACTTTATTTGACTGAATTGAATTACAGGGTTGAATCGGGCCTAAACTATTTTTTCACTTCTGTTAGTAACGGGCACTGGCTGGGTGCCTGGTCGTGAAACGTCCGCTGTCACTGACGCGTCGGGCATCTGTGGCAACAGAGATTCAGTAGGCACCTCCGTCGTGTCTCCTGTAAGGACTAGCGGGGATGTTAGGTTCGAGATTGTTCCTTCTAATTGCACTGCGTCGTCATCATGTTCTGAGATGGGTGGGTATTTCTCGGGAAGCTTGTAACAAAGGGAGCAGTCCTTGGAGCATCCTACTGCTACCTGATCCTCCACTTGAGCCTTAAACCATTTAAACGTACCTCGCCTGTCTACTTTTTTCGCGGGTGTACATTCTTTGGCTGAAGCAGCTGACTAGAGCGAGTCGCTTGATAAGGGGAGCGCAACTATCCAATCCTTCTGATGTTTCTATAATTCAGTAGAAACCGTTTTGGTCATAGGCCGCATCCTCGTCTTTGTTTACGAAAAACTTTGTCGTCTTCACTCTGTTGTCCGCTTTTCCATTAGCTGTAGATATATAAGTGACATTTTGATGTGCTTCAACGGGAAATCATTTGCAAAGTTCTGAAATTCGGTAGAATCAAACTGCGGCCAATGGTCCGCTGTGAGTGTTTCTGGTAGTGGGCTTTAGCTTACAGGTAATGGACTTGGAGGTCTTGCATCCCATCACGTCCAGCTGAAAAAAGTTAGAATAGCGATAAGTGATGACTAGGTGGTTAGTGCTGTGAGCTCTGAGAGGTCTGCCAACATGCTTTCTTTGGGTTTCGAAGCACAGTAGAGGTCCTTTCAGGACTTATGTTAGTTTGTGACTATCGCAGATGCTGCACCGTGAGATATACTCTGGAATTTGCTCCTAACTTCCTGGTCAGTAGAAAGCTTTTCTAGCCCTCCGCAGACAGATCTTGACGCCCAGCTGGTTTGCTTGTACTTTGTCAAAGATACACTGTCTCGAACCACTTAGTGCCACAATTCTTTCACCTTTAAACCCTGAAGCTAAAATAAGATTTGTTTTTTGTAGATTCTCTTTCAATTCAGCTATCTCATTTCGTAAAGATTGGTTTTCCTTCCTTAGCTTTTCACTCCCTGTCATAATTGGTAGAAAAAAAGACGAAATATAATCTTAACTCGGAGAGCTCTTAATACACACGTCCGACCAGTACAGACATTCACACCAGTCTCTCTTCATACCTTTCTGTGCAGAAAACTTGGTTACCTTTTGTCATTAACACCCCACGCATCTCCTTAGATTTTTTCATCCTGATTGGTTAAAGGCTGTTACACTCTGCTGCGTGGGTCTGCAATAAGCATTTGGATACCCTCACTGTAAGTTACTTTTGAGTGAAACTTCTGTCAACAGCATTCTTTGTAGCCTGCGAACCGCAGACGTATTTCCGGTCGTCGCTTCTCTCCCTCCGAAAAATAACGTCTGCGAACCCGAGCAGCAAAATGATTTCCGTGACGTGAAACGTTTTGTTTTGATTTTGGCCAATCACATCAAAGGATAGAATACAGCTCGAGTGACTCCTCGCGACCTTGCGCGCTGGCGTCTTGTATTTTGGCGAGAGTTACCAAATACGCTTTGGAATGTGAATTTCACGTCGCGCGCGAATTTTAAAGACATAAAAACTGGCTGAAGTAAGAGTAAACGACTTGGACCAGGAGCTCTTTTCAGAGCTCACTGAACCCCTGGTCCAGCCTTTACTTATACATGTAGTGCCACTATTTGCAGACGGAAAAGATCCAAACTACTGTTTACAAATCAATGGGAACGTTTTATGGGAATGGAGGACGCTGGAAGGCAACTTGAAGAAACTATATGCAGTTCTTCAAAGAAACCTACGTCTAAATGGCTATTTGCTGAAGGAATCTGCTTTTAATCGGGTCTCTGTGTTACTGGGCACGAAAACGAAAACTTTCGTTGACAAAATTAAAAAAGAGAATAATGGGAAGCGGCGCTGACAAAAGTTGGTGAATCGTTTTATACAGACACATCCTTGATGGATTCAGAAATCTCTGACAATTGCTCGTCAATAATTCAAACTCCTACAAGTATCGCCACAAATTAATGAACTGAAAGATTACAAGTCAGTGGGCCGGACCCAGCATGAAATAAATATTTAAAGCATAGTCAAGATGACATTTCAGCTATGACGCTTCGACTCATCTTATAAAAAACTATTGAAAATAAAACCTTGAAAAGAACATGTATTTAAAGAAAATAAGAACAACAAAAATAAAATGCTTTCGATCTGTTCAAAGTTCTGTCTGAACCAAGAAACAACCACGCATAGCTACGCATGGGAAATCAATTACCACATGTCCTAGCTTTCAAAGATAAAGGATACTAAAAAGTATCTAAAAGAGCACACGACAAACTATCGAAGAGTTCTCCAAAGCGCACTTTCCTACGAGGAACCAGAAAGGAACAGAAGCAACAAACGGCATGATGCGTTTACTGTCATTGGGACATTTATCGTTTCTAATATGATCAAACAACAAGGTGCGATAAATCAATGACTCCGTAGGCAAATAGATAAAAAATGTCCTGTAATCTTCTCTTCAATATGAATCCTCTCGGTGTTTATTTCATCAATCAGTCCCACAATCCGGGTAAATTAACCTTCGTAAACGCGTCGTTCTGAGGAAAAAGGGCAGCTGAACACAGGCTACGTTGTCCTTTCAATTTCGACTTGCAAACATGTCCACCTCGCACGATCTTGCGAGGTCTCGCGAGTTAGTTCCTTGATTTTAAGAGCTAAACTGTGATTGGCTACAAAGGTTTTACGTCACGGAAATCGTTTTGTCGCTCGGGTTCGCAGACGTTATTTTTTGAAGGGAGAGAAGTGACGACCGGAAATACGTCTGCGGTTCGCAGGCTACATTCTTTGCAGCCTAGCCTCCTCTTTGCACTCATCAGATTCTTCTTTATAACGGCTTCCAGGGGTTTGTGGTCAGTTTGAATTAAGGCCTTTCTTTCATAGACGTACATGTAGCTCTCAAAGCCGAAGACGACTGATAACACTTCCTTCTCAAGCTGGGTGTAGTTAAGCAGTAAGGGCTCTAGATGCATGTGCAGTGGTACTTCATGGGCATCTTAAAGTAAGCATACTCCGAGATATCCAGAGACTTATCAAATTGAAGCACAGTCTTCCTAAAATACGTGAGCGCTGGAGCTAGGGCTAAAACTTGTTTTACTTTCTCCAGGCATTTTTTTATAATTTACGATTACAAGTAATCTCTGGACACTTACTGCTCTGTGGGGGTTGGCATGCCCTGATCGTGCTTGGATTATCTTCAAGACCCTCTGAAGATACAGCTAGGCTCATGTAGATGACTTCCTTCTGCCTAATTAAGAGACCTGCTACCCCATTTAAATCTGGAAACGCTTGTGGTTTTGACCATACTCACATGTCTGATGTTCAGTCAAAATTTTATCTGTACCACTTTGTTACTCAAGTAATTTGTTTATTTCTACTGGCAAATTTCTGATGAGATCAAAATTGAAAGAGCTGTCCCAGTTTTCCCTCGAAATTTATCGGTTAAAACAATTCTTGAAAATTAAAACGGCCGTTAAAACAACCGAGCCAGGTGTATGACGGTTTTGTTTTCTTACGGTTTTGCGGCTAGGCAACTGCGAAAGCCAAACCGATTTAGAAAGAAATATCGCCAAAGCAAGATTACACTTCGCTTAGCGATTCTCTTGGGAGTCACTCGCGATGCGAATTCCGAAAAAATTATAAACGTCGCATACGCGACGGCGACTGGTAATTGGAATGAGTGTCAAATCTACTTAGAAGCCTTCTCCCAAATCGTCGCCCGCCCCCTATGTAGATATGAAACTCATTCCAAGAGTAAACTCGGAATATTTGAGACCAAAATGGCCGCCCTTAATGCAAAGCGCTGGATCTAGACGATCTTTTGGAAACATAGGGCCTGTGAACAGTCTATCGAAGGGCCTTAGGTCTTTCTGAACTACTGGAGCGTAGCTGCATTTCGAAGATCTCTAAAGTAGAGACTATAGTTGTAGTGTGGAGTATAGGTATCGGATAGGTGTTCATACTTTACCGAATTGCTTTTCACGTCGGCATGAAAAGCAATCCGGTATAGTGTGAACATGGCCCAAGTCTAAAAATGTTGCACTTTTTCATAGCCTGAAATAATATTGATTTTATAATTGTCCCGGGATAACAAGTTTTTTCAACACGCGGATATTTCTATTCCCCATTGGTGAAATAGGTGGATAAAATCTTCGAATGTTCTCGATCTTTTACGTAAAACGTGTTTGCGTTAGTAGTTTTTAAAGGAAGTTTGGAAGAATATGAGGGTCTGGTTGGGGGGCTACAAATGTCAGTTGTCAGTTAAAATTTTGGCCGTTTGTCAGTTGTCAGTCAATTGGCTGTTAATAATTAATTAAGTAATTTGGTTATTTCTTTTTTATCCAAAATTTAGCTCAAAAGGTACAATAAATGTAAATTGTATCACTAATTCGAAAATTGCCACACTAATAACCTTTTTTTTTACAAATTTGGAGTTGAATTCATTACAAGCGGCTTTCTATCGTTACTCTCCTGCTTGCCCGAGCATAACATTCTCTCTAACCCTTAGACCCTTAGCTCATCAAAATTCACCTTCAAAATATTTGAAGTATATGGTGAGAAAGACAGACAAATATCGGAAGAGTTCTTTCTTTTTTTGTTCGTTTGATTTGATTGGGTATTGTTTGTCAATGGCTCAATTGTGATTGGCTGGGATGAAGTGATCAGGGAATATTGCACTCGCCCAAACAGACGCGTTGGGAAGAGAGTAACAAACAAAATATGTTTTCTCCTGTGAAACATGAAACATGTCTACTATAAGCATACCTTACAAATCAAGTCGAAAATGGGCACGTATTGGCCTCCCAGATCTTGAAATGGTAACAGGCGCAATATCTTGGTTTCTATAATGTTTTGGTTCTTAGCTGATGTACTGCGTGTTTTAATGTATGAATTTACATACGATCAACCGACACCACTAAAATCTGACGTGCAACGATCCCTCCAGGAAAGGTGTCGAGAAGCAAGCACACGCGGTGCATTACGTGAAAACAAGAGCGAAAATATTCTGAAAGCGTAGCAGTACCCAGAAGGTTTTCCGGACTAACTTGCATGCTTATATTTACACCACTACATGAAACAAATACACAAGCACTAAGAATACATACTGTTCATTTCGCTTCCTGAGTCATCCAGCATACTTGGAAGCTCCAGCTTCCACTGGTCGTCCGTTGTGATGGCGAAGTTATCACTTTTCCCGTCCGGTTTCGGTGCCATCCGATAAAGCTTCATATCGGAATCTCCAAGGCCGTATTTAATTGTTAGTTCCTTCAGACCAAGGAATTGAATAAGGTGCTTTTTGAGAGCATGTACTGTATTTAAGTCATTTATCGGAATACGGCTTCTATGTCTTTCGAATGCCGTATCCGAATTAACGCGGTAAAAGCTTACAATCGCTTTAGTAACGCCAGCATTGGCAGCCATCATGTAAACTGGCGCGTGCTCGGGACTGCTCAGCGTGAGTTTGTAAGTTCGAGATCAGAGGTGAAAATTATGACCCTGATGTACATGGGTCATACAGTAAATTATTAACGAAAGACCTAATATAAAACGTGCATTTGTTTGACGAAAAGAGTAAAACATTGTTATTTACAACGGGTTTTGAAGGATATTTAGGGCAATAAGATTTTTTGTCAGTTGTCAGTAAAACGCTCTACAAATGTCAGTTGTCAGTTAAAGGCAAGACGTGCGCAGCTACTTAGGTCTCACGTTTTTTTATGATTTTACCCTACCTTAACCCTCCAAAGGCTGCAAAAAATGTTTAAATAGTAATAGTGATTATTTTTAGGGTGGCCTTTTTTAACGCACTGTTTCCACTTTGTAATGGATGCATGGAAGCCTATGAATGTAACCTAGTGCTTGCAGGTTACAGAAGGATTAATATGATAAAGACATTTAGGAAATTGAAGTATTATTCAGATCCTCGGTGCTCTGAGTAATTCTAAAAGTAATATAATTTTTGCTTAGCTCCATACACTTCATTAAAAGTAAGAGTCTATTTGATTCCGACGCATTATGCTTCCTCTTTCACCCTTCTCTATCAGTCCACCTCCATCCCAAATAAACTGCAGGTAAAGTTACACTTATACGCAAACCCACTCGATTATGACTCCATACGACCAGAGGTACTGGTTTTGAGGACTTTTTTAAGAGAGAGAACAAACGCTTGGCTGCAGGTTCAACAGAATATTATAACTATCGTGTTCCCAGGGTAAAAATCGCTGAGAGCAAACCTTCGAAACATTCGGAGGCGGCGAACGAAAGCAATTGGGACAGAACTGCAGTTACTGTAACCCGGGCCTTGTAATAACCTCTGGCATCCTTGTTTGTTGCTTGCATCAGATCTACTTGTAGTTAATTTTTGTAAAATCACAGTTTTATACGTGTGAAGGTTCTACTGATTTTGTGTAAGGTGGAACTGAGATGTGTACTTGTGCTTATTTCTGTCCTTTAATTTTATTAGGATGAGAGGTGTGGAAGTGGAACTGGTAAATTGAAAGGAGAGCTCCTCTTTGTATGTAAGAGAGATCATGCACTTTTTGTTGATATTGAAACTGTTATACCAGAGAAAGACTTTGATCACGATCCTGACAAAGATACAACTTCACCAGACAGGTCAATAGGTTATGATCCTGATAGACTTTCAGGTAGGTTTTTTTTTAAAAAGGTCCATGGATACTCTCTTTATGAAGGGTTTGTTGGTTTGAATCCTCATAATGCTGCAAATTCCACTTTTAGGACTTCCTACTATTTCGCCTTAAATTAATTTCCACCTGTTTTTTTTAGAAACAAACAATTATCGTATAATATTGTCGTGCCCAAAATACAATTCAGGAGGCCATCAATTATTGCCTGCTTGATATGCGGGGGCTCGAAACTATCTCCGTTGAATATCATGTTATTTGAACAAGATATAAATCTTCTTAGTAAAATACAGCTGGTGGTCTATTAACAATGCTGCGTTTTGATTGGCTGAGCTACTACTAGGCTATATGTTATAGCCCACTAGTAGCGAAAAGCGCCGCTTTTGGGCGGCAAAAAAGGATTTAAGTCTAGCATTAACTAGCTAAAGTTGTTTTGTCTCGATATTTTTGACCACCTAGTTGGATTTTACTAAAGCAATTATTCCTCGAGCCCGTATGGCCGCTTTTAACTGCAATGCACTCTTCTCGTATAATTGAATGATTCATTGTGTTTTTGGAAACCTTTACAGGGCAAGACCACTTACGCGAAACGAACGAACAAGCTTCATTACCAGCATTAAAACTCACGAGACAAGACTTACCAACGACGTCAAGAGAGATACAGCGGCATAATGAAAAGTTACAGAGGGAATTTAGGGAGATACAGGAACGTGAAGAAGTGTTACAGAGGCGGTTAAGGGAAATGCAGGAAAGTGAAGTAGAATCACAAAGGCAGTTGCGAGAGACGCAACAACGCGAAGAACATTCACAAAGGCAGTTAAGAGAAGTGCAGCAACGCGAAGAAAATTTACAAAGGCAGTTGAGGGAGATTCAGCAAAGTGAAGAAAACTCACAAAGGCAGTTAAGAGAAGTGCAGCAACGTGAGGAAAATTTGGAAAGACTATTGACGGAGATGCAACAACGCGACGAAAACTCACAAATGCAGTTAAGAGAGATGCAGCAACGTGAAGATATTTTGCAAAGGCAGTTGAGGGAGATGCAGCAACGCGAAAATTCCCAAGAACAAAATTCCTCTTTAGAAAGACAGCTTAGAGAAAAAGATCAGGAAATAAATGAGCTAGAGTTAAGTCTCTCGTTGGCTCAGCGAAGAATAAGTGAACAGCGACGACAGGAAACGTGTGACTGGGTCATTTCCCGCAACGAAATTCAAATTACAGATAATTGTCTAGGGAGGGGAGGCTGGGGAAGCGTCAATGAAGGCACCTACTGTGGCTGTACTGTGGCAGTGAAGCAAATCCACGACCTGATTCTGTCTCCTCACAACCGGCTTTTATTTGAAAGAGAAATGAATATAGCTTCAGCTTGCCGCCATCCCTCTCTGCTGCAGTTTATCGGCGCTACAAATGATGAGGGAACTCCTCTGTTTGTTACCGAGCTCATGGAGATGAGTCTGCGAGCTTTGTTGGAACAGCGGCCGCTTTCCGAAACAGAAATACGCCTCATTTCTCTGGATGTAGCTCGTGCGCTGAATTACCTTCATCAGAAGAAACCATCACCAATCATTCATCGGGATGTCAGCAGTGCTAATGTGTTGCTATGGCGAAAGGGTGACCAATGGAGAGGCAAAGTGTCAGATTATGGCACTGCTAATTTCATACAGCAGACCATGACAGTGGCTCCTGGAGCTGCCATTTACTGCGCACCTGAAGCACATACATCAAACCAAACAGTCAAGGTTGGTCGTCATCATCGATTTCAGGGCCCAGTTTTTAATAACTATATCATAGCAGGAGAGAATGAGCTAAGAGAGCGAATCCCTGTGCCTCATAAAAATTGTTTTAAATCTATTTTAAACTTCGCGCCCGTGCTGGGAAGGGTAGTTTTGTCTGTTGTTTTCGTGACCCGCGCGGTCTACTTTCACGTGAACGAGACATGTTTCGCCGCCAAGCATTTGAAGTTCGACAGCCGTTACAGTAATTAGCGCGCTAGAGGTTTAAGTTGTTGACATCTTTTTGATCTGCGTGTTCCCCTCATGATTTAGGAATGAATTTCATTTACACGAGATTGCAGTATTTAAGTCAATATTTCACTTAAGAATTAAATATTGAGATTTTCTAACGGCTCGTAGCCCCATGTAAAGTAAAGATCATTGAATACTGACTCAACCTGAAAGCCAAAGGCAAAAGTTATCACACGCGAAATACGAAACCTTTAATAAGCGGCCTGCTTCATTTGTTTATGTAAGTATACGAGATATTTTTTCTCTTTTTGCCAAGAATGTTTCTCGTTCAGAAACAGTACGTTTGCTTTTTTCTTGAGAGTTTCAAACTGCATTACTTCTTCTTAACTTCTAATACTTGCGATGAATATTTCGCTGTGCGAACACAAATCAGGTTAGATGCTTCAAGCTGTTAAATAGTCACTAACCTGGATGCCAGAGACTTTTGATGCACGTTTTCAGGTTTCGGTCAATTCTTTATATTGAGCGGTGTGCCTACATTTTGTCTAGCGCCTTCTCTAAATTCAAATGTTTGGCAGCCAAACATGTCATGTTTGAACACTCTTTTCTCGTTTCGTGTTCACTTATTACGGTGGCCCAAAAGTGTCACGGCAACCTCAATTTGACTGTGAAAGGTTTGAACCCAGGAGTCATTTCAAGAGTAGGTTGAGTTTGATCGTCCGGGTGAACGTAGTCCTGAATAGGACTGTTGTTATTAACAGTGACTGACGTTTCGACAAGCTATGCAGTAGTCATCTTCAGGGTCAAAGTGAGTTGTATCACGTCAGTTGATGGTATTATACTCTGGTTATTGATCTGATTGGTCAATTACTTCGCGATGTTATTGGTCGTCTGTCAATTTGACTCGCGGCAATTTCAATTTGTTCACAGCAATTTCAATTTATTCACGGCAATCTCAATTTTGTTCACGGCAATTTCAATTTACTTACGGCATTTTCAATTTTACTCACGGCAGCGATTACGCATTTTTCGCTTCGCTCACCACCTGTCAGCTACGGCGGCCAACAAACGCGAAATTAAAATTCGATATTAAAAGTCGATATTTAAGGTAAATCTTCAAAGTGAAAATCAAAAATCAAAAGTCGAATTACGAACTTGGGGGTGGGTGGGTGGGGGATATTTATATGAGACTGGGACGAACTCAGACCGGCATGACGGCATGAGTTCGTATCGGTCTCCAAACATTTCTTTTCATGCGCTTACATGGGACCGGCCTAAGAATGAACTCAGTCTGGTCTGACTTCATCTCGGTCGCTGACCCAACACGAGTTACAGCTCTCGTACCGGTTTGAGACCTTACCGTTCACATGTAAAACAAAAAACGAATCCCAAACCGGGTCCATAAATAGCACGTTTCTTCGTATGATTCCACCTTTTTTGCTTTTTCTTAGCAAAAATAGAAACATTGCTACCTATAACTCAGTAAACAAGACTGAGAAGTAGCTTCAATGCTTGGTTTAATGTGAGGGATTGCATCGATTTGAGATGTTGTGCAATATTAACAGGCCATCAGATGAGTGTTATATAGAGCTTATAATTTTCTGGGAGTAGTGAACTCTCCGGTTGTCTACTCACTGGCTACTGGCATAAGTGTTCGTAAATCGACTTTTGATTTTTGATTTTCACTTTTCACTTTCAAGATCGACTTTAAATATCGACTTTCGATTTTGCGTTTTGACTTTTGGTGGCCACTGTCGTCCGCCGTAGCTGACAGGTGGTGAGCGAAGCGAAAAATGCCGTGAGCTAGCCGGGTTGCCGGGAAAAAAATTGAAATTGCCGTGAGTAAAGTTGAAATTGCCGTGAGTAAATTGAAATTATCGTGGGCAAATTGAAATTGCTGGGAGTAAAATTGAAATTGCCGTGAGTAGATTGAAATTGCCGTGAACAAATTGAAATTGCCGTGACACTTTTGGGCCACCGTAACTTTTGGAAGAGACAGTTGACAATATTGTTGGTTGTTTATATACTGATGTAGCGAAGACCACGTTACGCAATTTTCGTCGCTTTCTCCGGCATACTTCCGAAAACCAGGACCGTTTTCTTGGTAGCTTGCGTAGCAGGCGCTTGGAAGTAGTGGGCACAAGAAAAAACGAGCGCGCGAGAAGAAGACACGCGAGGGGAGGGCGTGTCTCCCTTGCACGCGCCCGTTCTCTCTTTCGCCCACTACTTCCAAGCGCCTGCTACGCAGTCTATTTTGTTGGTTGGCAGCTACTCTGGCCAGATTTTTCCTCGTAGAAATCTTTCACTCGTCCAAGAAAGTAATACTAAGTTTATACGTCATATTTCTTGCTGTGCGTGTTCTGCACTGAATGAATTACTCGCCAAGTTTAAAATTACATGACGCCACTCTAACCGACCAATAAGGTGGCGTCCTTAAAATAACCACGCAGTATGACACAGAACCAAGAATAGGTTGAAAATCATTTTCATGGGAAAAGGGTCATGTATGTGGGATTCGATCTCTTAGCCCATTATCTCTTTATCGCAAACAGAGTGTGTGACTGTGACCACTGTGTGTATCCTGTTTGCTGCAGCCTGCGTTGCAGACACTCTAAGCCGCCGGTATAGAGCGCCTTCGAATTAGTGCACAATATCATGCTTCAATCCAACAGAGCCGCAAAGACATATGTAAGTGTTTTTGATCTGCTAGTGTCTTACGCAGTTAGTGATTTGTTCCGAAATTTGTTAAAAAGTGTTGACAGGCCAAACACCATTCATAGCTCGCGACGACAGTGTGTACATGACCTTAGTATTAGGTTGAACAACAGCGAGGCCCTATTAGGGTAAAATTCCGACAAGTGACATGGCCTTGACATAAGGCAAATGAAATGGCGACAAACGACACAAGGATGAGTTGAATGTGTCTGATTCGGTCTGTTTTGTTTTTCTTGAGATAAGCGAGTCTTTGGACTGAAGCGTTATGTCCTTAGTTCTTGTAGTTTCGCCGTTGGTGATGACTTGTTTTAGATGGGCAATGCATCTGCAGCGTAGAAGAAACTGGAAAATCAAAGATTGTCCGGAACCAGTCGGAATGTGTTTACAAACACGTTCAGGCCGTCAAGGAATATTCTCTTGAAGTATTTTCCTGTTCAGAAAAAACGGTTTCACGTCCGAACCGCTCTTTCACTCTTTCAACGCTCTTTCCCAGTTTTCGACATGCCTGCATTTAACCGTCTCGCAAACGTAACAATTGGACCAATCGTAAGGCGCGTAAGGAACCCGTCTATCAGAAACGCTCACATATATCCTTACGACTCTGCTGGATATCAGAACGAGCTTTTGTGCACTTATTCTCAGACGGCCTCAGTATACCGATGGTTTAGAAGATGTCTGGGCCGGTTACAACGCAGGCTCAGTGTTCTGCTGATGTAGAGTATATGCAGTATGTAACTGAGCTAGGTAGTCCTTTTACATTTATGGGGTTCTTCTGACGTAATCTTATTTGAGCGTCAATGGAAAAATGCTGTATCAAAGGTGTATCAAAGCTGATAAACTATTGAATTGATCTTATCTCATTTTCGCCAACAGGATGACTGAATATGAGAACCTTCGTAGCAACATCAGTTAATATTTTAATTTAAAACGTGTTGGAAGTGTTTACTTTTTTCTTATTTTCCTTTAGCTCGATGTTTATAGCTTTGGTGTTTTATTGTGCGAAATGTGCATCCGGGAACTTCCAAATGCTGAAAATCGCGAAGAGCAAGTTTTGCTGATGACGAGCCGCGTGTTGAGAGGCCTGGTACGGCGATGCCTGCAGACAGACCCTGAAGCGAGACCAAATATGCAGGAGATAATCGATGAATTATCAAGAGCTGTGTAACGTCTATCAAGTATTCTGTGAGAACTTTCGCAATAGAATTGAATTGGTAATTTTTTCTCTGCTCGAAGTCGTGTCTTATCGTTTATTGTGAAATTGTAGTTTACAGAAGTATTTAATACTAGAAGAAAATTACTCAGGTTAAAAACCAACAACTTTTTAGGTATAGCGAGATCTTCTCTTTAAAAATTTAGTAATGATGCCCAAAAGCCATACAGCTGTATATTATATCTTTCTCATTTACCAATGTGGGTAATAGCAAATGCTTGTTTTGGATTAGCCTTGTGGGAAAAAAAAAACGTTCATGAGGTCTGAGAGAAGATCGCTAAGACATCAGTTCTCTATCCTAAGCTTGCTCAGTTCTTTTTGATGGCCGTTACATCCGTACTTTTTTCGGATTGAAAGACCTCTAAGAATTTGACTAAAAAACTAGTGTTACAAAAAAAAAAAGTGTTTTTTACATATGTAATACGTTACTTATAAATATCTTTTTTTACATTTATTCAGACCTTACTTTCTTCCGCGGGGGAAGAAGGTCATACACACAAAGTACAAAATATTAACTGAAGAGGCGTGTAGACATGGCGCTTATTACAAGCAGTGGAATATACAATTAAATACGTGTAGCAGTTCACAGCACGGAAAACTCGAGGTCGAGAAGACATTTGTTATTGAGTTTCTTATGACAGTAGTTTAGTAAAAGCCATTAGATATTTGTAAGTAAACTTTCCTAATTATGTAATTAAAGGTGAGAAAGCAGACACGACGACTACGTGTTTCTAAATCTGTGAACGCCGAACAGACGGATCATAGGAGGGTACCTAAAAAAAATATTAATACATTTTTGAATATCCCTGGAATTAAGGTGGCTCCGTAATTAATACAAGAGCATTTAACTGTGACAAATTTTCCGTCATAACTTTTTGGTTTTTAACGCGATGGCTGCGAAACTTGGCAAAGAACAACAGATATCATTCGGCAATAACACAAAATATTCCGATTTCACTGACGGTAAATATTTCTTGAGAAATTAGTGCTTAAAAGGACCCTACTGTTCAAAGAAAATCGCGTCTAGTAAAAAATTTTGCTGATATTTTTTACTGAAATTTCTGGTATCGGCTTTAATTGATATAATAAATATGCCAGAGGAATTTCAGAAAAATCGTTGGAGCAGAAGTCCGTAACTAAAAGTCGGTCAAAATTCAGCTGTGAAATTGTTTTGGAATTTCAAAAATAAATTACTATCAGGTAGAAGGAGCCACCAGTTTGAATTTTCGGGACAGGTAAATTCAACGCTTGCTAATTCTTAAAACAAAAGCCGATTGCCTATCGTGCTATTCTTTGAAAGGTACTTTTTAGTTTTAGAAGAACTATAAATTGCTCCAAACTTTGCTCTGAAGTAGAATGACTTGTTCGTCGACAGTTTTAAAATATCCCTTGGCAGTTTTGGCTCAAACTCCTGCTGCATACATTTTGATGTATTGCCGTGCATTTTCAACGACTTTTACTGCCGTTCGTTGCTTCCAACTCAGGAAAAAAGTATTGAGATTGGACGCTACCTCGTATCAGAGCTCAGAAAGAACTGTCCAGCACCTTTGTTTATGACTACAAAATGAGCACGAGCGGCAGTTCTGCGTGGAATTCGCACCTCACCCAGGGGGGACGAACGACGATGATGACCATGCTTGTGAACCAAATAACATCACAGTGCAAAATAAAATTATCGCAAAATTACTGCCCGTGAATCAATTTACAACTCTGAAATTTTTGTCACTCCTTCCTTCAATGAATGGGTATTTTTTTCTTGATTATTATGTTTTGCTCTGCAATACATGTTTATACAGATCGGTTCACAGACATGGGCATCATTGTCACTCGTCCCCCCTGGCTGAGGTGCGAATTCCTCGCAGAGCTGCCGCTCGTGCTCATTTTCTGGTCATAAACAAAGGTACTGGACAGTTCTATCTGAGCTTCGATACTAGGTAGCTTACAATCCCAATACCTTTTTCCTGAATTGGAAACAACGTAAAGCAGGAAAAGCCGTTGGGGATGCTTTGCAATACATCAAAATGTGTGTAGCAGGAGTTTGAACCAAAACTGCCAAGGGATATTTTAAAAATGTCGAGGAACAGGTCATTCGATGTCAGAGCAAAGTTTGGAGCAATTTATAGTGCTTCTAAAAACTGAAAATTACCTTTTAAAGAATAGCACGATAGGCAATCGGCTTCTGTTTTCAGAATCAGGAAACACACTGAAGTTGCTTGTCCCGAAAATTGAAACTGGTGTCTCCTTCTTCCTGATAGTAATTTATTTTTGAAATTCCAAAACAATTTCACAGCTGAATTTTGACCGACTTTTAGTTACGGACTTCTGCTCCAACGATTTTTCTGAAATTCCTCTGGCATATTCATTATATCAATTAAAGCCGATACCAGAAATTTCAGTAAAAAATATCAGCAAAATTTTTTACTAGACGCGATTTTCTTTGAACAGTAGGGTCCTTTTAAGGGCTAATTTCTCAAGAAATATTTACCATCAATGAAATCGGAATAGTTCGTATTATTGCCGGATGATATCTGTTGTTATTTGCAAAGTTTCGCAGCCATTGCGTTAAAATCGAAAAAGTTATGACGGAAAATTTGTCACAGCTAAATGCTCTTGTGTTAATCACGGAACCACCTTAAGTTTAGTGGCGTTTCATTAAAAGATCAGCAAGTCAAAAAGTGATATACGATGTAAGAATTTCAGTCTCAAAAAAGCTTTAGGCTTGATAGGGGAGGGGGGGGGGGGGAAATTTGGATCCTCCCCCTGGATCCGCCACTGATAATTATGTACTTATGAAGTAGGACATACGTATGAAATAGACTGTTGAGAGAAGACAAGTATAAATATTGATTATGAAGTGTTTTAGGATGTACAATTAAACCTGCGAAGCAGTAAGCAATTATAATAAGAGTTTCCTATTCAATAGGTTATTTATAAAATCGATTACATATCAATCCAGATATACAAAATTTGCGATTTTTTTGTGATCATGCGAACGAATAAAGTTAAAAGAATTCTGCGGATAAAAGTTACATTAACGAATTCACAATTCAAGTTTGGATATTTTCGGCGTCACTTGGCTTTGCGAATTTTGCTAAAAATAAAGTTGACGAATTTTTGCAATATCATCTTTAAATAAGAGTATAAAGTACAATGAATGATATCTCCGAATGAACACGAAATGTTGAGAGGAAACCTATTATTGTAGTCTTTGTTCAGTTTATTCAACGTCATTTAGTTTGCGACTGGGGATCAATTTTACTCCAAGTTTTCTCTTTTCTTTTTTAATATTGCTTTTCATAATTTGGTCAGTGAAGGTTATTGAAATTATGTGTAATGACTTAATTTGCTGTATTACTTCCCAAAATTTTTAATGATGGCATGTTACATATTGTAAAGACCGGGTTACAAGGCCTCCTGTAATTTAGGGGGTCTCTGGGGCATGCATACGTTCACAAAAAATTGAAAACCAAATTCTCAGAATCGTAATTTCTAACATTCTGAGGATTAAATAATAAAGTGATAGCAGTGTTAAGGACCGTTTTCATCACGATTTTTTCTATGGGTAAAGCGGTCTTGCCTTTAGACTGCAAAACAGCCCGTATTCTTGCGTATTCAAGGAAGCGCGAGCAGTCAAACAAAAGGTCTGGAACGAGGCTGAAAACGGGGAGTGAGACTGGGGAGAGACGCTAAAAATAAGGTTTTTTTGTCTCGCCTCACACGCCCTACGGGCGTGAGGCTCGCGCGCTTCGCACGCGTAAGACTCTTACGCCACGCTTTACCGATTTCTTTACTGATTTTGAGGAAAAAAAACCGACTTTTTTGCAGTCTATCTTGCCTTCGTTGTTCAATGATGTTTTTTATTTCCATTATAAGTAAACGGCTGTCAAAAAACGTTTTTAAAGATCTTTAGATAGAGCGGCAGCGTGGCCAGTTCGAGACCTAAAAAGTAGTGAAAGAATGCTAGTTCAGCTGTAAGAGAGTAGACTATATATTCTACCAACTTCAACGTTTAATTCAGCCTAAAATAACGTTTGGTGCAATGACTCTCATTTTCTAAAGCCGGGTCGGCTGAACTGACTGCAGCAGGGCCTTACCCTCTCAGTCCCGTTATTCTCACTTGATAATACGTATTTCTGCTTTCAGGGAAACTAACAAATACTTCAATTATTGAAATTTTTAGATATTTTTTATTCCCAGCCTTTTAATAAAATAGCTTCTTAGCATATATATGGAAGATGCGCGTTTTAAAGACAAACGCAAAACTATTCGAAATAACTCAGGGGAGAGGATGGGCATCGTCTCGTGGAGGAGTAAACTTGTTGTTTATGGCATCACTCAATGTGTCCAGGACTGAATGCCAATATTTTGTGCTTCTGGACTGGGAATAAAGAGAGTGTTTAAGAATAGTATCTTTAAAAAAAAAAACAAACCCGGGGTACTCCCTATCATGGCCTATACGGGGTGCTCCGCCGGAAAGGGTTACTTTTTTTAGGCTTTAGATCCAGCTATTTCGAGAAAGGTTGTAGGATAAAGTGCACGCGACAACCCCGAAATGTATCGAGGGTGGTCTTAAGTTCACTGTTTTTCAAAGAAATTTCAAAGAATGGCAGGAGAGGCCATGGACATATGTCTGCGAGTGCTAAAGGAAAGTAACAAAAGTTGGTTCGACAGCTACAGTGTCAGGAACAGTGTATTGATCATATCCCATATTACCTTTCGGGATTGTCGCGTGCACATTTTTTCCGACAACCTTTCTCGAAATAGCTGTATAAGAAAGGGTAGTGATTTTACTAGTTGAAGTATATTAAAGCGTAGGGAAATCTGTCATTTGGGTCTGTTAAAGGGCGCAATAGAGCTAATAGATGAATGATATGGCTTCGTAAAGTCGAGAAAACGTTCTGGTTTCGAGATAGCCCGTTCACAGACCCTCTTTTTACTCTTCAAATCCGTCGAGCGCGGGTGATAAAATATAAACCGCTGGGGACTTATTGACCGCCAGTCCAAGGGGGTGGGAACGAAAAGAAAAATAAAACAACGTCTGTGTACAGTAGCCTGAATTTTATCCGATTACTTCGAGTAATTATTACTCCCTCAGTAACGTCTGAATTGACCGGCCGTTAATGCGGTCCAGTGACGTCACTCACTACCCGAAAACCGGGTAGTGATTTTGATTGGTTGAATGTCTAAACATTCACATAATAATGTATAATTATGAAAAATTTTAGCGTGATTGTCGCTTGATATTCACCGTATCGCAGCCTTGGCACTCTTTCGTGTAGTTCAAACATTTCGATAAGCTTAATCTTTATCTTAAACAGCAAAATTGCCCTTGTCTTCGAAACTGAAATGCTAAATTGAACTGCGAATGAAGAATCATTGCGGAGAGGCGGTAGGTTTTTCATTTAGAGCCGCTTTGTGGTTTCGGCGGCCGGTGATTTTGTTTACGCGAAGTTTTCTGAGATCAATGTTATAATTCGACCTTCTTGCTATTTTCACCGTCAAGTGTAATGATTCTGTTAGCTTTTCTTTCTTGTTTCCTTGTTTTTTTTTCTTCGTTAAGGACAAAATAGTTTCTTTTCAATTAAAGCAAATCATTGTGTTTTTGAATTAAGTGTTCCGTGTGTGTGTTTATTTCATTACGTGATCGGGACCGAGTTTGATTATAGAATTGAGTACAACCGGTTCAGAGTTGTACTGCATGCAGTTGATCGTTTGAACGTTAAACATGAATTACGTTCGAAAAAAATAAAGCAGTTCTGTATCATGCAGACATTTCCAAACGATATTTCTCGGTAAGCCACTTGAAAATCGTGTGTGACGATGCGATGTGATGTGTGCGTGTGAGGAGAAAACGACTCGAAGCAATCGGATGAATTTCGGGCTAATCCGAAATCGGATTACCGAATTTTGACAAGCGAAGCATTTCTCAACCAAAAACCCAATAAACAAACCAGCCATGAATAACAGAAGACTCTTGATAGCAGCTGTATTTCATTTACCCTGCGAACAGAGTCTCCTTCGATCTTCCTAGAGGAAAAAGAAAGTTAAAAACATCACAAGTTGACACAAAACTCTGTCAGCTTCAGCTGTCAAAGTAAACAACTTTCAAGATGCTGCATAACTTTTCCGCATGAACTCACCTGTCAAGTTTTGACTAATCAGAGCATAAAAATAGGACGTAGAGCGTGACCCACGCGTGACCATGGTAAGAAAAGGTCTTCCCCGCCTGTATTTTTAAAAAAACTGCCTGAATTTTCGCGTCCGAGGCCAGTTTGAAATCAAAATCCTAACAGTGCGGGGCCATACCTGTGCGAGACATCAACTTCACACTTGGACTCTTACCCTCCAGAAGACACGTGGTATGGCGTGATTCTGTGGGTGTCAAGAGTTCTGGGTCAGGGCTTAAAATCAGAGTGCGCGGATATTTTTCATCAGAGCTTTCTCTGGTTGTTACGCCATACTGACGAGCCCCAAAGAGGGCGAAACAGCTGTCTATGGCTACAATTTCGCTCTGTTTTGAGTTCTTTCGGTGTCGTGTTGATGTCTTGCAGAGTTAATTTTCACGTAGTACGATCAGCATTGCAGTATTCTGCTTGCAGAATTTAATATGTCTACATAATTCATATGAATCATTGGAAAAAAAAACTTGAGAACCTGCGATCATTTGAAACTGGTAATTTGTCAGCGGATAACTTCAAACAAATACTCGACCTCGATGGGTCAACACTTGAGCCCGCGGTACGGTCAGGTGATACTGATCAGCGGATACTCTGTTTGACAGCTGTCAATTGATCACAACATTGATGTGCAATAGACATAGTTTCCTCTTGGGCTCCCAAACTAGCAAGAAAGTATGAGAGTAAACAGTGGTCCCTGTGCTGCGGACGGACGGTCGATCGCTAGGTCGGTCGGTGTACGGTCACGTGATTACCAAATTTTCTGGGATGGGTAGATTTATACTCAGCTAAACAGGAGGGCATTTTGTATGTGCGTGCGTCAGTTTGGTCTGTTGAGGTGCCCCAAAGGCATTTTCCGTGAATTGTTTAGGTTCAATACCAGTATTTACAGGCTGTTTTCTGGAGCTGAATGGCATATATTGGGTTCTACGTTCCACAAACGTGTTCTTTAAGGTATCGAGGCATTGCTACGATGAAATTGAGTTTATTGTAGCCTCGCTGTCGCCCTTGAGAAGTCAGTCTTTCCTTTCGTAAAACAGTACATCAAAGACAAGATGGCGGCTGAATATTGTTACGACCTCACATTTCGCGCACATTTTCTGAGCAGCAGGAAAAGGTCAGTATGATAATTTTTCGTTTACTAATATACATGAAAAAATTTCTCGATTGTGATTGGTTAAGAGAAATGCAGTTTTTAGGTAACACGGTGAAGAAAAAAGGTAATTTAGTGCAGAAAAGTGTAACAAACGTGACATTCTGATTGGCTGATAAACAAAGGAACTCACGGAGAGCCAATCAAATCCGCTATCTAAATGGCGCAAATGTTGGATCCGCTCCGGACCAGTTTCGAGCAAAAACCGGTTGGCATTTGCAACACATTTGCTTTTGGGACCGAAACAACTGTAGAGGAGCTGAAAAACTGCTCTAAAAACGAAAACACTGCGAAAAGCACTGGTTTTTGGCTCTCTGTTTGGAAGAATTGGTGAGTAGATAAGGAAATTACTGATGAAATAGAAAATTATGAGCCGGCTGAGCTTGACACTTTGCTCGAGCATTTCTACGCCGAAGACAAACAATAAAAAAGGTGAAGATTATGAACCAGAAAGCCTAAAAGTAATGATGGCATCGCTTGATAGACACTTAAGGAACAATGGCTGCACCCTGTCCATTGTACGCAACCGAGAATTTAGTTCGTCCAAAGAGGTGTTGGAGGACAAAGCGAAACAGCTTCGCTTGGCTGGCCGTGGTAAGCGCCCAAACAAATTAAGCTCGGCGAGTATCAGAGGAGGAAGGAGAAATTCTCTGGAGGAGCGGAAAACTCGAGGTAATAACCCAGAATCTTTAATTCAAACACATTGAACAATTCCACGAACTGTTCAGCCCGTTTCTGTAGCTTGCAAACTGTAAAAACATCGCAGCATTTGAATAGTTTATTAATGCACGTAGTTTACGCGTGTTGACTCCCTATCAAAGTGATTTTAAAGCTATCTCGCAATTTTTTCATGAATATTATATTAATAAGTAATCACATGATTTTTCTCGTGCAATTTGGAATAAATAAGCACTCGCAAATTATTTCAAAGACCACAAATTGCACTAACCCGTAGGGCGAGTGCAATTTTGTTAGTCTTTGAAAAAATTTACTCGTGCTTATTTATTCCAAATTGCACTCGAAATCATGTGACTACCGCGCGCCTGTACAAACAATTATCTTATAGATATTTAATTCTTCTTAAGGTGACTCGACCCAGTTTTTTTGGGCGGGTACCATCCTACTTTGAAGCTCTCTGGTATCCCCACCTTTACTTTTATCGTAAGTCTAACACATAGAATGGATAACATATAGATCAATCTACAATATAACACAAAATTTTTGGCGATCGGAAAAAATGTCACGTGGTTATAATGCCACGCCCCTTTTTGGTCTCAGTGGAAAATCTGCTGTTGTAGGCATTTTTTCGTGAAAATCTCTCGGCTACACATAGTGCGCATTAGTGCCTTGCGCTGAACAGAGTTTCACCAAAATCTCAAAGACCGGATTCGAGAAATTCAGCGGTTTCCAAATTTAGGTCATAATTTATGCGAAAATGATAAGCAAACTTTACACGGATTATATCTAATAAACTATGAGATCCATCTCTTTATTTTGGGCATCGTGATAACAGATGGGTCCTTGCAGGTCAGCAAAACGCTTTAGGGCCTTGTAAATGAGCCCGATTTCGAGCAAAGAAAACATATAGAAATTATAGTTTTCGCTATTTGTTGACGTTTGTCAGCGTTTTAGAATCCTTCTCACGAAAAAAGCATTTTCTTAAAAATTCGTAGTTTTTTTTGCTTCAAATTTTTTCAGGGCCAAAATTGATTAACTAACTACCCGGACTCTGAATTTCATAGTCATTGAAAAACTGTGTCATTATCTTCTATAAGCCCAAACTTGAGTAAACATTGAAGATTTTTAGCGTTTTGGCTGAGTTTGTGCTTTGGGAGTTGTCTATTGTTTCTAGTCTGTCATTATACAGCATTCTTGTTCAGCACGCGTGCAATGACCACGCTTGGCTGACTTCCGAATGCTGACCGAGATATTCCCGTCACGAGTTGGTTTAATTATTGGCTTGCATTAAACCTATGAAAAAATATTTTTTTAATAGTAAGTAGATTTAGTGTGTAGCACTTCGTGATTTTTTTGCAAAGGCACAAGAAGCACGAGAATTGATTAAAAATTGTGAGTTAAACCTCTATGTATCACGCGATGGCCTGTCTCACTGTACCAAAATATCAAATCTCGGTGAGCATTCGGAAGTCAGCCAAGCGCGGTCATTGAACAAGAATGCTGTATCATGACAGACTAGAAACAATAGTCAACTCCCAAAGCACAAACTCAGCGGAAACGCTAAAAATCTTCAATGTTTACTCAAGTTTGGGCTTGTAAAAGATAATGTCACAGTCTTTCAATGACTATGAAATTCAGAGTCCGGGTAGTTAGTTAATCAATTGTGGCCCTGAAAAAATTTGAAGCAAAAAAAACTACGAATTTTTTAAGAAAATGCTTTTTTCGTGAGAAGGACTCTTAAACGCCGACAAACGTCAACAAATAGCGAAAACTATAATTTCTATATGTTTTCTTTGCTCGAAATCGGGCGCATTTACAAGGCCCTAAAGCGTTTTGCTGACCTGCAAGGACCCATCTGTTATAACGATGCCCAAAATAAAGGGATCAATCTCATAGTTTATTAGATATAATGCGTGTAAAGTTTGCTTATCATTTTCGCATAAATTATGACCTAAATTTGGAAACCGCTGAATTTCTCGAATCGGGTCTTTGAGATTTTGGTGAAACTCTGTTCAGCGCAAGGCACTAATGCGCACTATGTGTAGCCGAGAGATTTTCGAAAAAATGCCGGCAACAGCAGATTTTCGACTCAGACCTCAAAGGGGCGTGGCATTATAACCACGTGACATTTACTCCGATCGCCAAACATTTTATGTTATATTGTAGATTGATCTATATGTTATCCATTCTATGTGTTAGACTTACGATAAAAGTAAAGGTGGGGATACCAGAGAGCTTCAAAGTAGGATGGTACCCGCCCCAAAAAACTGGGTCAAGTCACCTTAACAGTATAACTCTAAAATGGAACTTAATCGTTTCAGGAATACAGTGGTTAATTAAGTGTCCATTTTGCCGTGAAACTACATTTTCACCCTTTCGCTGGCTTGTTTACCTCAAAATCTTGCCTTTCTCGCCACATTAAGTTAATGATTAATGAAACTAAGAATACTTCCGCAAATGAATGGTGCTTTAATGAAGGCTGTGAAAAATCGCCTTCTGCAGTAATTTTAGCGTTCTTTACCGTTACGTCTTCGTTGAGAAATAAAATACACGCTCTTCAACTATAAATTTAATTCAGTATAATGATGTCAGTGATATTGTGTTTTGAAAATAAGAAAATTCTATCATTTAGTTGTAGACTGGAAAAAAAATTACTGCGATCGGTTCGAATTCTGATTTTCTCCACCTTATTTTGATGGTACACCGCTTGTTTACATTTCATCACACATATAAATATAGCATTTAAGCATTTTAAAGAAAATCTAGCCTAACCCCCCAACCCCAAAATAGCACCAATACACCTTTTAAATTAATCCCGGCTTCTGCTGCAAAAAAATTGCGTGTATTCCTAAGTAATGCCATTTTGTGGATACTACATTTGTTGATATGCTAATTTGTGAAACATTTTATTCACAAAGGATGTTTACTGAAACCAGCTTCTCCTCTGTATTGAACCAAATTCTTGTTAAATGCATCAGTATCTGCTTGATAATTCTTCCCGTAGGGTTCTATGTAGGTTCATCTGGATACTCTAAAAATCTCTCAATAGAAACAGTAATAGACAAATTCACCCATCTATTTTGTGTCATGTTTGTTGTTGCATCCCAATTCATTTGGGTCCTTTAGCAGTAGTATTTCTTTTTTGAGGAAACAGCATTATATGCACCCCTCTAACAAACTTCCTGTCTTATGTTTTAACAGGCTCTGACGGTGAACAAACATCGTAAGTTAGATTTATGGAGTGATGGCCATTCTCTGTTTTGAACGCATCACTATAACTGTCATCAAATATAAATTAATAATAAGAAATCGATTGTGGAACACAGTAGCCGTTACTCAAGAGTCGTTTCAAAATAGTAGCTTAAGAAAAATTTCTGTATTTTTTAGAGTTGAAGGAAAATAAAAGTATTTTTCGTTTTTTGGGGGTGCATTTTTTTGTCTGCAAGTGAGCTTATGAAAATGCTCATGATCGCATTAGTACATAATCACTTGTACTTGTTGCTGTCTCAGAGTCAATCCATTCTTCATTTCCCCAAGAATATTTTTTAATTTGTATTTTCCGCGAAAACTTTCGAAAAACTGTAAAAAAAAAATACCCATAGATTTCATTTTTTGGTGGCATATATAAACACGTCTCTCCGCGATCAGATTTAATAACACGAGACATTGCGCTAATAAATAAACCTCGCGTAGTAAATTTTTTTCGCTTTTCTTAAAGTAGCTGAACATTGCTACAATGCATTTCTTCCGTGATAAGTAAACCATGAGTTTGGAAATCAAACCATTCAAATGCATTGTTTTCAGGTGAAACTCGGATCTGATACGGGAACAGTGATTTTTGGCGTTGAGTATTTTAAGTCTTTAAAAGGTCAAGAAAACCTAGCTACTGCTGAAAAATCTGCTACTGAAAACCCGCGTAGAAAACGTCCGATTTTTGTCATGGATAACTTTTTTTTTTTTTTTGGAAAGTACGGTATTCAAAGCACCGACGAAATGACTTTGAAAAGGGCTGAAACACGCAAATGCCCTTCTGTTTACTCAGCTATGGGGCTCAGCCCACGCGCCTCGCGCCGCGCGTGTAGCTCCTCTATTTCGGTAGGATGAGAGCCTGGGGACGAGGTGCACTTCCAATAAACAAAATGGCCGACTGGCTCAGTCGGCTCAGTCGGTGGGGATACACACAGATTTGTGTAGTATATGGAACCGTCTCATGGCCCGGTGAGGGTGATGAGGCGGGAGGGTTACGACTTTGGTATCATGAGAGGAGTAACGTTTCCTACATTTCTGCCAGCAAGACATCGGGAGGTTACAAGTTGGTATGTGAGTTATTGGTGTTTTACTCTTTCACTTCCAAGATTGCACTGACAAAATCAAAACGTTATTAACAAAGAAGTCCAAATTTCATTTCGTCCAATACTTAAAACAAATGGTACCATGAACTGAGGCTCAAGAGTAAGAACTGAACTCTGTGGATCCATAATTGACTCTGGTGTCTGGGAGTGAAAAGGTTTTTTAAATTTTACACTGTGTCTAGATACCCGGCAGCCGGGAACTGTTTTCAAAAAACTAGATACACGGCAGTGAGAAATTTTGACCAATTTTCTCGGAATACCTCGTTTAATTCCTCTTAGAACACAAGATATTTGTTTAGAAATCTCAAGTGATGTGTAAATATTGCCTTGGGTTAAAAGTAGAAGCGACTGTTGAGTTTGGGCATAGAGTGAAATCTCCATGTGTTTGATAATTAAGTAAAGTTCTCACACACTGAGTCAACTCCCGATGAATATGTCCATAGAAATTATCAACGAAACCTCACCAGAGTATTTAGTGTTTGTTCAGAAATGCCAAGCGATTCTAAATAAAGGTTTTGTATAATTTGTTGTGGACAAATTCTCCAAGCTTGCATTTAGCATATTCTTTAAAATCTTGACTCACGGGTACGGTTTTCAAAATACCTACTAGATTCAAGGCAGTCGGAAATTCACGTACAATTTGCACGAAAAATCTCATTTAATTTGTGTAATAACATCAGGTAGTTGTTAAGAAAAAACAAGTGATTTCAAACACTACTTTGGGCTTGAAGTAAACGCAACTGTCGAGCCTGGGCATAGAGTGAAATCTTTATTAGTTTCGACACAGTGTAGTATTTGCGTCAAGCAACTGAAGTGCTACACTGGAGTTTGAAGGGCACTCTTCTGCTGAGTTGACAGACTTAAGGTTCTTTGTAACTCTCAGAGGAACATTTCTAGAGGATATCCGGTAAGACTATAGACTCTTTATACTTTACATAGAAATCGAGTAGACTTAGCAGATGCCGAGAAAAGGTTTTCGTGAAAGTACAGTGAGAATTTCCAACTGCATCTAGTATTTTGAAAACCGTACCCTGAGTCAAGATTCTAAAGAATTTATATGCATATACAAGCTCGAAGAATTTGTCCACAACAATACAAACCTTTATTTAGAATCGCTTGGCATTTCTAAACTATCACTAAATACTCTGTTGAGGTTTCCTGGATTTCTGTGGATATTTATCGGGAGTTCACTCAGTGTGTGAGAACTTGAATGTTTTCTAAGTGTCGAAAACATTGAGATTTCACTCTATGCCCAAACCCAACAGTCGCTTCTACTTTTAACCCAAGGCAATATTTACCATTGTTTGAAATTCCTAAACAAATATCTTCTGTTCTTAGAGGAATTAAACAAGCTATTCCGAAAAAATTGGTCAAAATTTCTGACTTCCGGGTATCAGTTCATTCTAGTTTTTTGAAAACAGTTCCCGGCTGCTGGGTATCTAGACACTTCCTTTAAAATAATACAAACAATTTCAATTAACAATTATACCAAACCTTCTTTTTATTTAAAAATTTATGCTCATTTATGTGGTTATTTACTCACTTTAATGTATCCATTTATTATTTTATATGCTTTGTTCTTCATTAAACGTAAGAACCTGTGGATTAAGAACCTTCTGGCAGAAATTTACCACTTTAATATACCCAAAAATACAAGAACCTGTGTAGCCAAGGAAGATCATCATTCTAAGTTAAGCATAAATTACAATAAACAATTTAACAAAGGCAGGTAACTATAAGTTGTAATGCATCAGTCAATTCAACCCGCGTCATTAGAATCAATAGAATCCTAGTGCTATTACAAAGGAAGATGTTAAATTGAAACAAAAAATCACACATTAAAATGCTTAAAACGGCACTATTCGACTGTGCGACCAATGTAAAATGTTGCAGAGTTGATGGAGGACGGGGCCATTTGCCGTCTTTTTTCGTCCCCACCCCGGGGGCTGGGCACAGGTGGAATTGACTGATGCATAAATTTAAGTATATTCATAAGAAGAATGCTCTTAAAAGCGTTATTACATTTGTAAAGTCTCACTTGCTTAGAGATTAGATAAGAAATGAGGAGGTGATTACAAGAACTAGGATTTCAATTCCCACGGAAAACAATTTTTTGGTTCCATGCTCAGAGGTCATGGGAAACCACCAGTAACAATTTTTTGGTTCCATGAAATTCATGGGAACCTGTCCCCTAAAGGTTTTTAATTTTAGTCAAAGTCATACATATTTTTTTCTTGGCGCTGCTAGCTGGAAGCCATAAACAAGTAATGTATGATTCAAGATGGAACTGATATAGATGCTAAACATTTCAGTTTTGTATATGAGTTGTAACTAAAGAATTGCCCAACTAGTTTAATAAGTATTCTGTGTGGAAAAATAATTTCGGTAAATGGATCCGTAAGGCTTAAAATGGGTTATTCCAGAAACAAATCCACGCCCCCACTACGGAAGGCATGCTGGAAAATCTCACAGGAGGGGGAGTTAATGGCTCTGGAAATCCAGATGGGAGGGGGGCTCTGAACCTAAAAATACATTCTCGGGGGTAACTTTCGATTTCATTGGTGTTTCAATTGCTTCAATCAATAAGTTTTAAAAAAATTGTTTTGCCTTGTCAAATTTTATTATTCTTTCAAACTACAGACCTCTTACCACATATATTTTAAGTTTCCATTCATAGACTCGCCCTCGTTACTTTTGTAGAAGCGAAGTGTGATAACTTGAATAGATCAAGAAAAATCACATAATTCATGAAAAGGCGCTCAGTTCAAGTAAAGCAAACAATGATTTTACCTTGAATTATACATTTTTCCAAGGTTAATGCTATTTCAGGGTGATTTACCACTAAACAGGCCTTACAAGTACACTTTGTAAGCGTGGTTGTTCGTAATTGTTTGGCGGTGTTTTGAAAAAAAAGTGTTGGAGCAAGTGGTACAGTGTGTCATGTAATATCCCTCTAAGTGTCCTTTTTCTTTCTGTCGCAGTCATTTTTTATCCACAAAGAAGAGAACCATTTATTCGAGAAGATAGTTAGTTCTGAGCTTTATTGTAGTATATATTGCTGTATATTTTGCCTGTTCTAGAAAAAAAGAGAAGTTCACTCAAATATGAGCTTATTTGCAAAAAGTGTAAGCCTGTTTAAGAATGTGTGAAAATGGAATGTTAACGTTCACAACAAACGCAGAATTCAAGGAAATTGAGACTTATTTGATAAAAAGATCATCTAAGTGCCTAAAGGGATTGTTCTTCATTCAGAATCCAGATGGGTGGGGGGGGTCTTTGAACTTGGAACTCCTGAAGGGAGGGGGCCTCAAGCAGTTTTGGAAATCCAGGTGGATGGGGGGTGAGGGGGTCAAAAAACCGTGCCTTCCGTCATGGGGGTGTGCATTTTTTCTGGAATAACCCAATGGCACTCAGAAACTATTTTTTGGTTCTGTTATTTTGAGACCAAGGTAACAACACGGTGCCGGAAACTTTCGTTACTGTGAAATCCTAGGGCTTGGGATTACATGTACATGAAGCAGGATTTCCTGGCTAAAAAGTTTTTACTTCCTACTTTATTAACAGTAAGATATTTTTCAGGATATTTACTTTTTATATCGTATTTGACAATTTGTTTCTGAATTGATTGAGTGCACTTGTATATTAATACACGAAAATCAAGGCCTAGATTAGAGAGAAATTACAACATTGCTAGAGAGCAAAAAAATGTGATGAGCGTGACACGTGACGTCATTTTTATTATCGCCAAAAATAAACCGCACACTCAATACAGGACGCATTTGCATACAATGAAAGTTTACAACACCCGACCAGTTAGCCTCACCATCTGCATCATTGGTCGAAGTTTTGCTCATTATTAACATTCCTCTTTTTCTCGACCTCTGAGGTACTCACTTGTTCCAAAGTAATCAACACTTTCAAGCGATACTAGAATTCGTGGATCAACCTATAATTCCGGAAAAGCTCTAAATCTTTTGCATTAACCTTTCCTAAGCTTTCTTCACAAAACATTTGTGGCTCCAGTCATGCCACATTTCTTTATATCCCCAGTTTTCATCGTCTCCGCTACGTTCAACCCTGCAGGGACCAATATGTCTTCCCTTAACTTTTGTGGACTAAAATACAAGGAACAAAACATGGCTTGCAGATTCTGAGTCTGCAATCGAGACTAACAAGAAATTTGGTCATCAGTTTTGTTAGGGTTATATGACATAGTACAAGACATGTAATTATTATTATGACTGACTGAAAAGTTAATTTATTTTTCTGATTTTAAGGACGGTGCCCACTAATGGGAAGTATTTTTTCCCAGATAATGACTATGTGAGGCAAGTAGATCATATCAGGGGCTATTAAAATCCAAAAAAAAAACACGTTTGCAAAAAAAATAGTGTAAACGACATTTTCCCCGAACCAAAAATTGATCGTTTGCTGAGCAGGCTTATTTCTTTCATTTGGTAACATAAAAAGTAGGGGTTACCACGCGTTTTTAGAAGTTAAATTGGTTGGTTTCGACCTTAACGTAAGCGCTTTGGGGGTTATTTACAATTTTCCCCATCGCCTCCCCTGTCAGTGTCACTATTGCTTCACTCAACGCGGAGTCCTCTGGGATATCCAGAATGGCTAACAGTCAGAAAAAACAACATCACACAGAGGAGAGCAAAAACAGAAAGTGAAGCAGGACATTTCATGGACTCTAAGGAAAGCAAATTATACTATTTCAATCAACTGGAGCTTCTCCGTCTCAAACATTTAGCAAAAAGTTCTGGAGAAGAGCAATCTCCAAGGTATTAGAGATTACTTGCAGCGCACATAGTGTAGTATGGCGAACTCAAGATCCACGGCTGGTGCTGTAAACAAACTACTGTACCGTAGTGGAAAATAGTCGACAGGGATTCTAAGGCAGGTACTCCTTCAATCGTTTGCTTACCTGTACATGTCCTCAAGAGTTTTTGAACTGTAGATGTAATATGGATTGTCAACCTTCTATCGTTTCTTTATCATTTTACCGGGTACCTCGATCGAATATGTTATTAAACTTGCATACATTCAATGAGCTTACATCTGTGCTTTGCGCTATCTTTTTCTCGCTTTGCCACAAGTGTCATATGACATAAATGATTTGCATAGACTCATGTTCCGTACATGAGCTCTCTTTTAAAAAAGCTGAATAGTGTGAAAGTAGTTGTACCGAATGAGTTTATGTACCCTCATATATACACTGGGCTATAATGATCATTTTATGTATTTCGTTTTGATTTTTTTTACTGTAGCATTCTGTGTCATGATCATTCACTATTTTTCGTTTCTAAATGTTAATTGTAGACTGAACAGTGTCTGTTAAACTTAAGAAAGTCTTAAAATGGAAATACTTTATTTTACCTTCCATCTTTAGTTTGTAAACAGCCAAATGGCAGCTATGTCTAAATGTCCAGATTATATGTGGCGTGAAATTGAGCCTTAAGACAAGCTGCCAATGAGTCAATAATTTCAATGCTTAGTAATGCCAAAATGCTTAAATAACAATGATAATAGTAAAAAGCATAATTTTTTTACCATTTTTTCCACGATGAAAGCGTTTCCTTTGCGGTCCTCAACTATTTGTGAAGCTGCGAACTTAGCAATCCAAGCAATCTTCTGATAGTTTTGTTCTTGTTTGTTCAACAAATAAAAGCCTCAGACTCTCGATAAAAGGGACATCTGTATGTACTCGAACGCTGTAAATGTATGTTCTGGTGAATAATTACATAAAATATTTGGGAAAGTGTTTATAGCCGATTAGCCGATAAAACGAGAAGGACGCGAGTGAAAGGTAAGCTTGCAGTTTCTCGATTAAGCGGAGGACTTACAGCTATTTTCCTTCCGATTTACTTATCCCTCTTGCCTATGAAGGGATTTTTTAATACCCGAGCTCCAAGCGTAAACTCTTGAAGTAATAACTTTTGATGTTTTAGAATTGACTTTTGTTTGACTATGAAATGTTCGGTCAGATCTATCATACGTAGAAATAGCAACATGCGTATACTTTTTCGGTTTTCAAAGAACTGAAAAGGTAAATAGAAATTATTTTTCATCTTTTAGCTGTTGAAAAACGACGCATCTTTTCCACAAGAAATACCTAGAATCTCCCAGACTTACAGGCGACAAAACCAGTCCAGCTCAGTCCGCGTGTCCTGCGTGTTGCGCATTTCTTTTGCATCGCGCGCGACTACCTTGGCATGCGCAGAAAATGTGCGCAGTAACAATAGTGGGCACCGTCGTTAAATACACAAAATTCTATCCCCTTCATACGTAAAAATTAAGAACCTAATTAAGAACCTACATAGCCTAAATTTCCATTAAGTACCCCAAAATACAAGGTTCTTATATGCCAGTGTTACTGTACCTCATTTACCAGTTTTATGTAAATGATTGGCCACCATGGTAGCTTTATGCACCACAACAATAGGTTCATATGAGAAATTGAAGTGAGTGAGTTCACTTGATTCATGTAAGAACTTTTAATGAATAAACCAGTGCTGCTGTTTTTACATTTGATCATTACCAATTTACTGAGGTTATTTTAAAATGCCTTGCCAGCATACAAAGAAAGTAGTGTCCGATAGCTAGTCCAGGGCTAGTGGGTTTTCTATCGGGCTAGTGAATTCTGTTTTTAACTTGCCTGAGTCGGGCAAGTGATGTTTTTTGAGGAACTCGAATAACAGAAGAACTGTGAAATCAATTGGATCTGCTCGTCAAAAAGCTTTTGGGGCCAGTTTAAATATATGACGTCTACATGGGCTAGTAAATTCTAGCTTCAGCTTGCCCGAATGGCAACCTGTAAAATTTTCTTTGCACCCTGCTTTCATGTTTAGTATCAGCAGAAAGTACATGTACATAATATTTTAACAATAATAAACTGTTTAAAAAGTTTAAGGAAAAACTTGCAGTGACTACACGAGCTATTACATGTATACCTGCATAGGTTCATGAGAAAATGGAAACTGTTACCCTCCATACCAGGATGCAGTTTATTCTTCCCCCCACGGAGGGCATCAGAAATTCCAATGGAAAGGGGGTCCAAGAGGAGGCAATTTCCAAGGGTTGGGGTCAGATTCTCAAGGTCTTTTTTTCCGGGGAGTTTGAAACCAGAATTATTGTTTTTATTGATGATCTTACATTAACAGTTATAGCTGAATGCTTTTTTCACAGCTTACACTGTACCTGTATGATATAGTCTGCATGTATCTAATATGAATGTCATCGGCTCATTAATAATTCTGGTCATCCTGCTCATTGTTTTACATTTCACAATATAATTGCGGTATTCACTATGTTATGGTCATGAACTTCTATTGGTCTTCTTCTAACTTGTTTTCAAAAAGTAATTGTTTATTTTTTTTGTACTGGTTCTTTCATAGATGCTCTCGTAGTACACTGGACAAAACTGTTCTGGATTGATGTTAATACAAGAATAAAACAAGCCAAGGAACCTCAATTATATTTTTATAATAAGGCTGGTTTATTAATAAAATTGTCGCGCTTAGAAATAAGCGAATTACGAAATTATTTTACAGAGATATAGATATTAATAATAAAAAAATAATTTAAACTAATTACATCGTGTTCAAAATGGACTGGGCCTTACAATTATGAGAAGATATTTATAATACAATAAATTAGATAAAATACTAGAAACTAGAAATATATATCAAGTTATACATTAAATTCCCATAAGTTCCTAAATTACATGCCATGAGCGTAAAGGCACATCGCTGGAAAAAAGCTTTGTTTAAAGCGTTCAGTTTTGCAACTTATAATGGATGGTCTGTCTTCGTTGTGAACGGAGCGGCTGTGCGCCTGCGACTGAGTCGGTGGAACGAGATGGCGAAGACGGGATTCGGGCTCTTTTATCTTGTGAATAATTTGCTACACAACTCTTTTGAAGTTTATCAAATTCCACACATGGGAAAATATTTTCATGTTGATCATGCCAGGAGGACTTGCATTACAGCGTATCCAAACATGGTAACGAAACCACAAAGGTATGCAAAATCACGTGATTTGCAAGAAAAAAACGAATCAAAAAATGAAGGGTTGTTGTGTTATGTTAAGAATATTGCGACGTTTTCGTGGGTGTTTTGTAAAGCATTCAATGGGAAAACACAGGAAAACTTAAGGACAGTCTACAACTTATTTGACCACTGAAATATGGCACTTTCTTCAGACTTTCGTCACCTTAAAACTCTCTCCTTGCCACTAGATCGGTCTTCCATCTGTTTTGAAGATGGCAGCCTGTTGCTCGCGCTCTGTTCCAGCACGAAATGCTGCTGTGTTAAAGCGGAGTCGGCCAAGAACTTGAGACACTGCTATGTGGGCCTCTCTAATAGTTGCTGGACCATATTTCTTGGCTCTTCTCCCATGAGCTTGCCATTTAGTCTCACATTGTGTTGTACAACAGCTTGAAACAACTGTGGATTTACCTTGTGGCCCTTCTATTATATATGTATGACAGCTTGAATCTTTGACTCCCTTAACAGCTGATGTATCAAAGGATTATACTGCTGCACGTCAATGACTGGATCCAAGTTATATTTTCGAGACAACATTCTAACATGACAACACTTGTGATTTGTTTTTCTTAAAAATTACGTGATTTTGTGTACCTTGGTGATTTTGTTACCAAGTTTTGATACACCATAACGCAATTCCTCCTTGTGTGATCAACAGGAAAATATTATTCCATGTGTGGAATTTAATATTGTTTAAAGGACAAAAATATCATTAAGGGTCCTTATGGCTTGTTTTATTTTTGTATAATAAAACGTCAATCCAGAACAGTTTGTCCAGTTTACTATGTGTCTTGTAATGCCTCCTTGGTTGTCAGTGACATACACCTCTACTCACTGTTAATAATTAACAAAGAGAGACCTTTACATGCAAGGCAAAACTGCGTGAGAACATCAGACACTCTTTTAAGATGAATAAAAAGATTTTTCCTCTCTTTTTCACAGAAAACATTCAATTGACCACTCCAGAAAATACTATAACATACCATAATACTCTTTGTTTGTCACCCCAAACTTTTGCATTTAGCATTGTCTTCAGTTTCTCTTGGGAGTTAAATTAAAATAGCGCCAAGAGAAACTGAAGACGGTGCTTATGCAAAAGTCTGGGGTGACAAACAAAGAGCATTATGGTATGTTATGGTATTTTTTGGAGTGGTCAATTACAAATGTATCTTCCGCATAAAAGTATAGTAGAACAGCATTTTTGATGAAAATATATTCTCGTCAGGGGGGTCTCAACCAAGTTAGATAACAGAAAATTCTGTGGCGTGGGGTGTACTGGTGTATGAAAAGCACCCCCTGGAATGGAAATTATAGTGTGGGTGGTCCAAAGTAAAAGTGCCCTCCATAGGGGAGGGGGGTATTATGGATGTTTTCTGGAACTACACATTACAGTTTATTCATATCACAGTCAACTGTAAGTTGTGAGTCAGGCAACAAATAACCCTTGTTTTTAATAATGTTTTTGTGGTAAAAGTAGTATACATGTAGTATTAAGAATTGTAATTCACGTTTATAAACTTTTTTTGCAATATTATTTCAAACTCAGTTGCTTTAGATCTCAGAAAGTAGGTTAAGTTCCCTCAAATTGATTTCTTGGAATCGAACCCATTACAGTCAAACCTCTCTAATACGGACACCGAAGGTACAGAGGGAAGTGTCTGTCTTAGGGAGGTGTCCGTATTATAGAGGTTTTTTTTAAAAGACAATTTTGGAGAATTTTGGTGGGACGTTGGAAATGTCCGTAATATAGAGGTGTCCGTACCAAGAGGTTCGACTGCAGTTAAGTAGTTCGCGTCCATTTGTGGCGTGTTTATGTCCCCCATAAAATATCCGCTGACAGACGGAATTTTATGCGGCTTTAATTTTATGCAGTGATGTCAAAAAAGTGTACAAAAAAGTGTGCTGTATGTGCAGACTTCTTATTTTCCCTAGGAGTAGTATAAATGTATTGCTTTTTTGATATCTTTATTGCTGTTGCAGTTGTTGTTGCTACAGCTCTCTATTTCGATCTGAAGGGGTGCAGTGTCATGACATATGGAAAAATCCAAAATGTATAAATTTGTATACAGTGAAACTACCGGTTATTACATAAATGTTCCTGTTTTTTACACATACAGTGTAAGTGCAAATAAAAATGAAACTTTCATCATTGAATGAAGACATAAAAAATCATGAATATTTTGTTATTTGAAAACTCAGTGAGGCTATAATATGGTTATTTTCAGCTTGAATCAGTATTGCATCTTGAACAGATTGCTGAAAATATTTTATTCTTTTCTTTTTTTGCCATTTAAAGGGGATCAGGAATTTGCATTTAGGAGGGTATAGCGTTGTCAATTTATGTGATTTTTTCTAGAATGAGATTTTAATCAATTGAAAATTTATAGTATAAAGATTTACAACAAGTTTAGAAAGTTAGAAAGAATTGTACATAATGTTTCAAAAGCTGAGTAGCAGACACATTTTTAACAGTCAAGTTTGTTTTATAGATGTTTTTAAATAATTGTTATGACTTAAGTTGGCCAATGGCATACAGTGTATTTTTTATTTTTATTGAATTTACAGATTTCGTAGTTTTTTAAAGTATACAAATTCATCAAAACACAATTTTTCACAAATTTTTTAACACTATAATCTCTCGCCATTTTAATGGCACACCATTCATGGGGTGCAACAAAAGTGCTATCTCATAGCCCAGGGCTAAAGTGAAGCAACTCATGGGGTGTCCTGTGAGTAAGCAGCATTTGCCAAGATAAAGAGTAATCTGAAATGCTTCAGAAAAGGGGTTGGTTGACCAGCATGAATGCTGTACTGTGGCTACTAAACTTCAGCAACAGTTTGCCCAAAGGGCAATGAGTTTTAATTTTCATCTCACCCTGATTCAGGCACCTATCAGGAGCTGTGACATTAAGCAGCAGTAAGGGCGGATTTAGGGATGGGCCAAAGGAAGCTTTTTTTCCTTGAAATTAATTTGTATTATTTTTATGGAATTCTCAGAACAATAAAACGTTTCTATATAGCTGGCAAGTGGGCAAGTGTCCCAGCCACCCTTTTCTGAATTTTCTGGATCCACCCCTGGCAGCTGCTGGTAAAATGATTTCATGAGAAATTCTCCATTTTTGATGACTTACACAGAGACCAAAAACCAATTCCAGCATACAGCAAATAATAAAAAATTTAATGTACATGTATGTATTACATGCCATTATCAAAATGGAATAAATTATGCAAAAGATTCCATTTAAACCCCACTAACCCAGTAGCCCAGAGAAGACAGAAAAACTCAGGTTTGTGGAGATGGACCAGGTGGAGAGATCTAGGTTGGGAGGTAAATGGGAAAGAACTAATAATTTCTGTTGTCAGGGACTTGACTGACAGCCTTCTTGTGTATTTTCCTGCACTAATAACAGTTGCTTATGCTTGTCGGTAGATCGATGACAAGTGATGATGGTGTTTTCATCCCTTTTCCTGGTAATTTTATTTTTTGCTCCTGCTCTTTGTTGAATTACCTTTCCATGTTGTTTTTCCAGATCTTAAAATCTGCCAAAGGCTGGTCCACAGGAAGTAAGATTTTTCGAATGTTTTTCTTCCTGTGGTGCGGATACTGTGTAAGGTTTCCTTGGGTTTCTGAGTTTGAAATTGAAATAGCAGTTACAAAAACAAACTGCAATTATACTGCTAGTTCAAAAGTAGTTCAAGATTAAAGAAACGTCATCTTCTTGACTTGCTATTATCTCTTTCTAAGCCACTGCAGGTATGACTTTGTGTATCGATTTCTCTTTTTTCAAAATTTGGGTATGATGGTAGGTCATGTGTATACTGTAAAGTCAGTATTTCATTATACAGTACCAGTATGAAAATCAACTCTTTTAGTTATTGGGATCTGAAATATTATTTATTGAGGTCCCCAAAGTTTCCGGCCTGTGTTATTTTTGCTATATCATTTATGGGTACTTTAATTTTGGTTTCGGTTCATAACATTCTCACAGTTCCCTTGCCCTGTTTGTTCAGTAAAGTTAAGTTCTGTCAGGCGGGGTTAGTACAGGGATAGGTGAGATCTTTTGGGATATAACCTGTAATATACTTGGACTTTAAGTTTATTTTTCAAAAGAAAGCAGTTTCATTGTTTAAACATGCTTGTAGAACATGTTGTTTCATGTAAAAGTTTTAGAGTCAGAAGAAATTGCAAAGGACTTTCTTTGATCATATTCGTGTGTTTATTGCAAGTAGCTAGGGGAAGTGGTGAACTAGAGCTGACATATAGTCCTGCTTTTTATATCATCTGTCTTGTTTATAGCCTGTGGTGCAGCCGGCCGGCCGGCCGGCCCACATACGTGTATAGTATAGATATAGTTGGTTTAAAGAAGGTTTAAAGTGTCTGCGGTGCAGAGTAGCTTATTTATAGTACAGTATTGTTGTAAAGTGCGATGAACTCAACCAGAGCACTGCACCCAATGACAATCAGCCAATCACAAGTCATGTTCACAAGGACAGGTGGCTATCAAAAACAAGATATCTCTTTATTTCTCAAAGTGCCACTGGCCCAAGTGTGTTTATAGAGAGGAGAAGTCGTTACGTCTCGTTGCCATGGTAGCAGAGATTTCATTTAATTTGCCAAATATTGGCGAGATTTCTGGGGTTGAATCGGAAACGACAGTATCTAAGTTTACAAAAAAGAAAAGAAAATTTTTGTGTTGTGTTCACCAACTCCGTAAAGTGGGCGCGTCAAATTAGGAAGTTTCATGTCGCAGTTGTGTAACGATGGCTAACAAATGTACAGAAAAGCGTAGTCACGTGCAAAGTTGTTGTATTGCTTATCTAATCCTCAGCTTTTTTGCCATTCTTGTTGCCGTCGCCATCGTCGTTGCTTAAGCTCCCTATTGTTGTCATCCCAAAATTTTGCTACCATGGAAACATGATGTCACACTTCTCCTCTCTGTTACAGGTTTCAATAAATTGTATATCGGTGTATGACATTTGCAGATTGCAGACCGCAGACTGCAGACTGCAGACCGCAGATTGCAGATTGTAAATTAAAAGACACCAAAAATCTTCCTAATAAAGGTGACACCATCAAAAATATAACATCGTGTGAAAGTGAGAAAGTAGCCTGGGAACAAGGTTGATGTTTTTGAGCAAAGTTACATTGGCCTCATTTCCAAGATGCTGTTGGCTATTCTTCACCGACGCGACTCTTAATTGACTCACCCGGCATATCACTTAGTGCGTTGATTCTTTATTCTTCTTTGATTATTGTGAATTGATAATGACAAGTAGCAATGCCCATTAATGCCTGTCTAAATAGTAGTCTTCTGTAAAAAAAGTGTTTAGATTGCGAGCACTTCGTGCTCACTACAGTTACGTCGACAAAAACAACTAGGATAGATCACGGACATTTAACACCCTTTAAACGACGTATTTCATCTTAGCAGTATTTAAGGATATGCCAAATAATCTAAACCGAACAGATCCTACCTGGACTCGACGAATTACCGGGAGTGCATTTTGAATTTCTAAATAGGCAAATCGACAATGGCTTTTTTAACAGCCCCATCATTGCTCATGCTCAAATCTTAGTACACAGTTGGGGCCCCCGTAGAATAAGAATTCCGGCTCTGTTTCACATACAGACTTATATAACCAGAGTTTAGTTTCGTCTGTGGTGCAGGCTAAATTGCTAGCCTGTTGCTATGGATTGATGAGCGAGTTGAGACATCGGCAGACATTATTCTGCTCTAATTCAATACGAGACGAACAGCCAACAATTCCTTCAGGAATCAGGTCGGTGTAATTTGCTTGAAAAAACTTCGCTTCTGGGCCTTACATGTACTTCTCGGAACAAGGTAATGTTGATGATGACGCCACCTTGATTACGATATTTTTGGTTTCATTCAATTTACAGTCTTGCTGCCTCATGCAGTCTGCAGTCTGCAGTCTGCAAATGTCATACACCGATCCATGTTGGTTTAATTGAGCAAACAGAGTGTAATTGGTCATCCTTTCTTTGGGACACCTCCATTCAGGGGACACAAAATTTGGTCCCGGAAAATGTGAACATAATCGTTGTGTTTATTACCTCAGTTAAAGGGACGAGTGACCTCTATTCAGAGGAAAGGGACACTTTTTCTGGGTCCGGAAACCTGGGCATATTTTAACCTCCATTATTTCAGGGAACACCTCAGCACGCAAAAAGTCACTGACCACAAAGAGGGCTGATATCTTTAAGTGCACACTAATAAAAAATGGAAGCTTTCACAAACTGAACTATCTCACATAAATCAATGAAATGCACTTGTGTGAATTCAAAATATAATAGGGTGTTTAAGAAACCATGACGGTGACAGCCATGAAAAAGTGAATTTCCATTCTTTTAATCTCTATCGCGATTACTCCAACTCATTTACTTTGTCAATTGCGAGCGAAGTCTTTTTGAGCCGAATTCCCAGGAATCATAGTCGGAATCAAGTTCAGGAAGAGGAAGAAAGTTTAGCCGTCACTTGTTTACGTCCTCCATGCCGTAAAACGTGAAATTTGGCATTTTCTTGTCGTAGTCGTGCAGTGACAGCAAAAAAATGTGCAAAAAAGCGTGATGCACATGCAGAGTTGTTGCTTTACCTTTTCATTTCAACCTATTGCTTTTTTGACGTTCTCTTTGTCGTCGCCGTTGTGGCATCTTAAAGTCCCTAATGATGATTTCTTTATGCTGTCTTTGTTGGTTAATTATTAACAAACCCCAGCCCAACCTCTAATCAGGGGGAACCTCTATTCTAGGGACACTTCCTTTGGTCCTGAGGGTGTCCCCTGAAAAGAGGTTTCATTGTATTTGTTTTATCTGTTGCTTCAGGTTTAATTTTATTGTTTACACAGCTCACTTAATAACTTTCTGTGCTTTGCACTGTGAGCCTGTCGACTTTCTTGATCGGTATTGTTATGATTATCTCTGATACCTAAGACCGTTTTTTATGCTCCATTTCTTGTACACCGTACAAGTTAAAATTTATACCAAATAGTATTGCATGAAGCCTGAAATGATGCGACGATGGCCACCATTGTCAAGTGAAATTTACCCTACATTATAAATCTATTCTTCAGGTATTATTAAGTCAGTCCGATAACGATTTTTTTGTGTGTCTTGCCTAAAAATATTTATCATCTTAATTTAGTCTTTAACCACTTATTCTCCTTCTTTGTTCAAATTGTACTATTTCATCTACTGTAGGGGAGAGAAGATGTTGCCTGGCTTGCTCGTTGTAGGGAATTAAGGGAGATGTGGTGTTGCCCTCAACCTAAAGGTCTGGGGACAAGCCAGGGAACACATGGTCTAGTGTATACTGTGCTTGCAACCTAATAGGGATTTGCTGGGAAAACAATGAACAAACGAAGTAACATGGAACCCAGCTCGAAACAAAAGAGCTGCAACATGAATTAGAGGTTTTTGAGAGCAGCAAGGCTACTGTCATGACAAAAGATTTTGAGCTGAACATATTGAACAAATTTTACTTTAACTTATGGCGCAACTGTTTATATGGTACAAGTGAGATCTCGGTTAAATGGAGTGTGGATGTAGTTGTATTCAGTTGTTATTTTACAGTACAGTTAACACCCACAGCAGGCCGCTAATAAGAACCTTCTTTTTTGAAGTCTGGCAAAATAAATAGGCTCTTGTAATTTGAGCTACTTATTGGTAATTTAGGCTAAGTAGGTTCTTAATATCATAGGTGACGAATTACTCCTTAATATAGGCGCGAAATTTCAGCGTTAATTTGTAATTTCACATGTGAAATTACTAAATTGCCATGGCAACCTGCAGTACGTCTCCGTCTCAATATGGCGACGAAGTTTTAAAATGTCATGAATGAAGATGTCAGGGCATAAAAAGACGCTTTAGAAAACCTGAACACGCGAAAGAGCACATCAAGAAGGATTCTTAGAGGTATGTTGTCGAAAAATTCCGAAAACTTAAGCCAAATTTCAGCTCTAAACGTTTGAGAGAGTGGATAAACAAGTCAAAATTCCTCGATTGCTAAGGTAATTCGTCACCCATGATATTAATAGGTAATCAAATGGTATACTCGTGAAATTAGGGAATAATTGCACTTGCGTTTTGTCCAAATCCTAATAATTTCCCTCGCCTAAAGGCTCGGGAAATTATAAGGATTTGGACAAAACGCGCGTGAAATTATTCCCTAATTTCACTCGTCACCATTTGATTACACATACTAAATTTTAATATATAGATTTAGCCAGGGCTAAAAGCGAAGCTCCTATTAACTCGAATTTATAATTTAAATCAAAGAATAAACTTGTAATTTCCACAAATCAGTTAACTTTAGAGCACATTCATGTGACTGTTGAGGGAAAGGCTAAGTGATTTTAGAGAAAAATAATTTGCGAAGAGTCCAAGCTAAGAGTGAACTTAATCTTACATGGAGTTGATAGCCTTATATGTACACCCTAAAAATAGCATAGCCATAATGGCTCTTGATCACAGTAGATTAGGCCTGGAAAACAAATCAGGCCGAATTTTTTGCCTTCGACAAGTTTACTTTACAACAAGTCTGGGGACGTGTAAACCAACCTTTTATACTTTTTATACATCACATCTGAGGTGAAACAGTACCATGACGCGCTGTTTTTATCATACAGACCTCGGACAGAATGCATTATTTCTCAATTTTGCATTACAAATTGCACTCATTCAATATTTAGGACGATCGAAGCACCCGTGACAAGCGCCAAAGTCGACTGTTTAAACTAAGATTAATAGAGTTATACGCTTCAACATAATAAAGAATTTATTATGTTTATTTTTTATCTAATGGTTTTATGTGTAATCTTCAAAAGCGTTTGATACGCGTGGCATTTTGACTACTCCTGCAAGCGATATTAATGAGCGACTGAAAACAAACGGCACAGCGATTAAAATTGCAAAGAGACTACTAACAATCAATAATAAAAGGAAAATAATTCGGTGAAACATATACAGAGACAACAATTTTCATTCACGAAGACAAGTATTAAAGTGTCTCTGAAAATCCTTGTTTGTGTTTTAAGCCGGCGTCCCGGTGTTTGCTTTTTTCAAAGATGAACTCGAGGCAAGAAAATCGCTCAAAGCTTTCTTTTACAGCCAGAATTATAACTAAATATTCTTTGGAACGTTTTCTTTCTATTTGCGATGAGAAAATGTCTGAAGGCTTTTTAAAGTTCTACAAGCTTATAATCAAACCTGATACTCGGTCAGATCATTGTCTCAAATCTTACAAACGTGCATAAACTAAATAGCCCCATAAACTACACTCGACTTCATTGAATAAGCTATAAAAAACAAACATCAAATAAAATAATTACTCAGGCTTGCCATTCGAGATGCACTGAAAACTATCCAGTAAGGCAAAAATCGCTTCAGACTTTTCAACCCTCTTACGCATCAAGCAAGGTGAAAAACGAAAACGATGCCATCCGAAATCGGATTTCCGACTTTGACAAGCGACGTATTTCTCAGCCAAAAACCCGATAAACAAACTAGCCATGAATAACAGAAGACTCTTGATAGCAGCTGAATTTCATTTTGTACAATGTTCAGTGGAAAAAGACAGTTAAAAACATCACAAGTTGACACAAAACTCTGTCAGCTTCAGCTGTCAAAGTAAACAAGTTTCAAGATGCTGCATCAATTTTCCGTATGAACTCACCTGTCAAATTTTGACCAATCAGAGCATAAAAATTGGACGTAGAGCTTGACAAACGCGTGACCTTTGCGAGAAAAGTCAAAAGCAACTGGCATGTCTTTCCTGCCTGTAAAAATTGGCTCAATCTTAGCTTCCGAGGTCAGTTTGAAATCAAAATTTTAATTGTGCGGCACGTATAAAACACATATTTCATATGAATTTAAAAAATTAAACTTGAGCCTGCAATCATTTGAAAACTAGTAACTTGTCAGCGGATAACTTCAAAAATACTCAACCTGGATGGGTCGACACCTGAGCCCGCGATACGGTCAGGTGATACTGGTCAGCGGATACCCTGTTTTGACAGCTGTCAATTGATCACAACAGTGGTGTGCAATATGTGTGCAATATCAGTCTTCCTGGCTCCCAAACTAACTAGAAAGTGTGGGATTGAACATTGGTTGCCCTGTGGTGCGGACGGACGGGCAGCGGGCGGGCGGTGTACGGTCACGTGATTACCAAATTTTCTGGGATAGGTAGATTTACTTGCCCATGGTGCTCCGCAGGCGCGCTTCGCGCGCCAGAGCTCCGCTTTAATTTAATAATAGATTGTCGATTACAAGAAAAGTGAAGCTTGTTATTTATTCACAATTGTGTTATTATGACCCTCACACAACCGATTACCGAATACAGTTTAGTATAGTATGTTTTTCTTGTACTAAAATTTACAACTCAAAGTTACAATCCTTTATTAAACTGTTTATCATAATTTAACTGTAACCCACTATAAGAACCTGCTTGATATTGCTTGGCTAAACTGGTTCTTGTATTTTTCAGATTTTTGGGTATTATAGAGTGGCAATTAAATTTCTGCCAGGAGGTTCTTAAAAAATGATCCACAGGTTCTTATTAGCGAGCGTTTACTGTAACTGCCTCTATAGTCAAACCAGTCAAACCTGTATTAAGCGGGCCTCTATAAGCGGTCACCAAAGTCCTGGAAATATAATATAGCTTCCTTTAATTATTGTAAAACCTACTCTGTATTTAGCAGTTACATCTATTTAGAAGCCGTGGTCACCTGTTTCGAGGTCCCAATGAGTAATTTGTTATTGTCTTTACCTCTATTAAACTGTCTCTTTGACAAGATGTGCCATACTAGTGTAAAAGGATACACTGTGTAGGGCGTTTAGTGGTCTTGTACAGACTTGCCAACCCCCGAAAGGCAACAAATGTGAGATTCTGAACCTAGAGCTGGGAAAAGTAGTGCAGAGAAATCAGTATAAAGAGACGGGCCATAAATTATTGGGCAAAACAAGGATCGCGAGTAATTTCAATACTGTGAAAGGTTTGAACACAGGAGTCATTTCAAAAGTAGGTTGAGTTTGATCGTCCGGGTGAACGTAGTCCTGAATAGGACTGTTGTTGTTGACAGTGACTGACGTTTCGACAACCTGTGGGGTAGTCATCTTCAGAGTCAAAATGAGTTGTATCACGTCAGTTGATGGTGTTATACTCTGGTTATTGATCTGATTGGTCAATTACATCGCGATGTTATTGGTCGTCTGTTAGTTAAGCCGTGATGTTATTGGCTATGAAAAATCGTAATCAGTGATTGGTGCGTTTCGATCCGTCTATTGTCACAGTTAAACAGTCGTCTATGGTTAGTCAAATTGTCAGTTCTCCAGTCGTTCTCTCGTAGTTAGTTTGATCTCGTCAATAACTTAGAACAAACGCCACTGAATCGTAGCCAACAGTTACCAGCGCCGTACAAACGACTTATTGACGAGACCAAGCAAAACTAACTACCAGAGAAGGACTGGAGAACTAACAACAGACGATTGTTTAACTGTGACAATAGACGGATCGAAACGCACCAATTACTGATTACGATTCGTCATAGCCAATAACATCTCAGCTTAACTGACAGACGACCAATAACATCGCGAAGTAATTGACTAATCAGATCAATAACCATACGTGATACAACTCACTTTGACTCTGAAGATGACTACCGCACAGGTTGTCGAAACGTCAGTCGCTGTCAACAACAACAGTCCTATTCAGTACTACGTTCACCCGGACGATCAAACTCAACCTACTTTTGAAATTTCAATACTGAAGAACTACTACTAAACCACATTTTGGTACCTTATGGGTAAAAAAAGGTGCACTTAAAACGACAAAATTAAAGGGAAAGGAAAGATCTTTTCGGTTTTTTTGGTCCGTACATTAAGTTGAGGACCGAAAATTTACCAATCGTAGAACAAGAAATAAGTTAATGATGAAATAATAATAATAATAAAGATAAAATAAATAACAACGGTCTTGACAAATGATTTTGAGCAGAACATATTGAACTCATTGTGCTGTAACTGAGGGCATAACCGTTTATCCTGTAGCGAGTGAGATCTCAGTGAAATGGGCTCTGAGTAGTTGTGTTTAGTTGCTTTTTTACAGAAACTGCCGCTATAGTCAGTATAACTTAAATTATATCATTATCTTTCCTTACCGTTTCAGTTTGAAATTATGCCTAAAACTGCAATAAAGGTTACCAAGGATACCTTTACTATTAGTGAACTAATGGGATGGTGGCCTCGTCAAGAAGGACAAACTGTTCAACTAAAAGATGCTGATCCAAATGAACTTCAGCGTTTTATTGACAAGATGACCGCCACTATCAAAGGTAAAGGTTTAAAAAATAAAGGTTGAACCGCTGTACATATGTATGGAAACAGGCAGATTAAGCTTAATATGGTGAGAGTAGCAATAGTTAGTTATGGTTTGGGTTTTTAAATACAAAGAGGAATAAGGTTAAACTTACCGTATGTACGTACATGTAGGTTTAGAAACAGGTAGCTCAAGCTTATGGCGAGAGTAATTACACATATATATTTTTTTGGAATTGAGAAGCATGTGATTAAACCCGTGCATTTGCATGGGTAGCTGGGCTTAAATATTTAAAATTGATGAGTGAAATATCCAGCCTTAATTTTATGAACATTAACGCTTATAAATTTGGTCAGCCGGCAATCGTCGCGTCAAATCATTGTTTGCTGTTAACCACTGTTAACAGTGTCAAGAAGGGTAGACGTTTCTTGACCGACTCCGCTGGCCAGTAGGACGTCACATACAGGTGTCGTAACGGGCAAGAACCTCGCGTCGCTTGTGCAAATTAGCAAGGGATACGACAGTTGTTAGGACAAGCGAGGTCAAGGAAAAGCTAAGAAGCTAGCAAATATCCCTATATATTGCTAAGTTGATCGAATCTGTGTGAGCTTTGGTGTTGCCATAATCTGCTTGTGTAAACCGTTTTGATAGTTTTGTGTCCGTAATTGTATAATTTTGTAAATTTGTTTTGCGGGCCGTGTTGCGGGAAGGCCATCTTTTTCACGGGACCGGCAAGGTCATCAAAACTTAAATCCTTTTTTTCTATAAAATATAGGCAAGGTCTAGTCTCCAGAATAGGAGGTTCCATTCACAGATCAAACATGTTTTGCTAATTAAACCGGCCTAGCTTCGTATCAATCCTTTCGAGTGTGGGCCTCTGTTGATCTCCTAATTCTCCACCAAATTCAGTAAAGCTAGTTCGATCGATGATCTACATCGATCGGCCCGTTGAATCCGAAATAATGCGAAATAGCTTTGAAATACGCGCTTAAGCTAATTTTCCTTCAAAGGTATATTTCAATTCATGATAAATGCAGCTCCACCAGCCTCAAAAAGCCCTATGGCAGAGAACATTGTTGTGATATAACAAAATTAATTTTTCGAATTACTTGTGTCACTGTGGTGCAGTGGTCAAGGAGTTGCTTGCACGTGCAGATAAACCGGGTTCGACTCCCGGCGACTTTGTTTTCTGTTTCTTTGCACCGTTTTTTTCTCTGTTTGGTCTTTATTTTTAGCACTATTTATCATTTTGGCCTGTTGTTTTTTATTCTTACTGCTGACCCTGCTGATCATGCACTTGTATCAATATATATTTTAAGCTTTTATTTTGCAAAAGGGATTTCAAGAGCTCTTGATCCGCATACTGGCCAAGCTTACGGCCAGAAAAAACTATAAGCTGTCAAGACATGTCCCTCCTCTGAAACAGCTGAATTTTTTTCAATGTCAGTTGACATCATGACAAACAACACACAGTAAACCACAAACTGCACTCATTAACACCCAACACCCACCAGTGACCAACTGGCGAAATTTAAACTTGCCTTTTGTACATCGTTTTAGTCATCAATATTATTACCCTAAAATATCCACTGGGTTTGCCCCCAAAAAATAATTAAGCGAAACCTTTTATTGGTTTTCGGGATTTAATTACAGAATTACAGGTGTATGTTCAGTATAGTATTAAAATACGGTAAAACAACAAGGTTCAATGCTTACAGTCTGTCACAAATACCTGCCATTTAGCTTCCTCTTTCAAAGCTACAGCTAAGCGAACTTTGAAAGGATTGATATGGGGTTCCACAAGCTCTGAAGTGCTGAAAATAAGCACAATGTAAAGTATAATACATCCTTTGATGGACCTCCTATTGCTGTGTCTAAATTCCTCAATCTTGCAGTGCACTTGCCCTCAAAAGTGTGACCGGTCGGTATGATTGCCCGTAAAATTTGCTCGACGATAGAAAGGAATCTTTGAAATTCATTACACCACTGGACGTTTCATTCCAAAAAAGTACTGAAGTCTAGTTTTCTATGACACTTATTACCTTAAAATCTCCAAATCCAAGAAATTGGAACAGTATTTCCGTGATTAAATCGAAATTATTATCCGTCTCTTCGATGAACACTTTGCTCGCCATTTTGAAAGTCACTGACGCGAGACGTGACGTCATACTGGCTGACGGACTGTACCACAGATCTCCTTGAGACACCCCCCCACCAGGACAACATTTACCTAATTAAAAATAACAACGCCCGTAGAGCATGAGATCGGGCTGGCCCCAATTCTAGTGATATGGAGTCGACAAATCAGATCATATTTAAGACCAAATGAAAGCTTAGAGACAAACATTAGTGTGTAATCCAGAAATTAAATCGATTGACTTAAATTGCTTCGTATTCCTCGCCTTATTCTTCTCGCGCGCTGGTGGTTCTGCCGTCAAACTAAGACTCCGACTTGTCCTCAGTCTTCTCTTATCGTTTGTATGCGGACATGGAACGGTCACGGGAGAATATTACGGCATCTACCCCGCGCTTCTCTCGTTTAAAAATTAACAGGAGACTGAGAGACGACTGGGTACAAGTCAGCCTGAGACCGGCCATATCAAAGTCTTATGATGGCAAGAATTATTAAATTGACTGTTTCTCTCTACACGTTCGTTGGGTAATTCATTTATCGACCAGTAAATATAACCATACAAAATGAATCTGGGAAGAGCTGCATGTTTTTTTGCCCCTCATTCCGTTCTTTTAAAGGGCGTATCTCACGGTTGCCCCAGTTGTTGAAAAGTTGGATAGCGCTATTCACCAGATAAATCCCTATCCAGAGGATAAGTATAGTTTGCAAGCAGGAGATTTCTACTGAGATCAGGCCAATTGCGTTATAGACACTGGATAGAGATTTATCCAGTGGATAGCGCTATCCATCGATTGAACAACCGCTGCTTAGTTCTTACATGCTTGTGTTATCCTTCCACTGTACGGTTTTACATTTTTTTTCTAAGTAACCACGGGTTGGATGTTATAGCCCGCCAGCGTTACCAACGCCGGTATATATATTTGAGTTCTGCATCGCAGGATAAAGATTTACCATTCATTTTTTCCAGTCTGTGTAAATCCTCTATTAAAGTGCCCTCTCTCAAATAAGCCCCCTTCCGTTCTAATAAGCCCTCCCCTCTTTTCAGTGGAAGAAAGTTAATAAGCCCCCCTCGCCTCTCTCTATTAAGCCCCCCTCCCTTCCCCTGATTATTCTTCAGTAATAAATGATAAACTGTATTCATCAATCACGACTATTTTACTTCGTGTGGACTGATCCGGGATGGTTTCGAAACTGAAAGTTCAAATTTGATTCTGATCCTCGGATGCATGACCTCCAAGGCTCCAACCTTCTTGTACTTGAACGTATCCACTTTGTATTCTAGGTCTTTATGGAGAACTGACACCATCGTCTTTTCGAAATTAAATAAGCCCCGCCCTTCTCATATGAGCCCTTTGTCTCTATCAAGTTCCCCCCTTAAGTGGGCTTGAAATAATTAGCCCCCACCGGGGGACGCGCTTAATAGAGGATTTACAGAAAATCTCTGTTTTCAGACACCCCTTATTTGCCTTGCAATAAAGAATGCAACCGAAAACATTATTCCTTGGACACTTTATAGTGGTAATTCTTTCTAAACCTTGTTATTGCCAACGAGCCATCCGAGCGAAGACGCTCGGATGGCGAGGCGGCAGCAGAATAGAGCCGCGCAAGACTGAGCTGTAGGCAGAAAAATTCTCGATCGAGCTTCAAAAAGTGTAACCTCATGTAATGTAGATTCCCCTGAGACCAAGTGGTGTGACAGTTTCAGCCAATCAAAAGGCTTTAAACTATACTTGGCGCACATGTGTTCTTTCCTCAGCGGCACGCGAAGACTGAACTTGAATGTGGTACGTTTTTATTGTTTATTCACCTAAATCTGGCCCCGGCAGTCAAGGTAAATGAAAACTTGATGCACTGTATTAATTTGGGGGGCCATTAATGTAAAGTTTTAACGTAGAGAAGCTTGTAAAACAACAGTTTAAGTAAAGAAAAGTTTTCCATGTGAAACAAGCAATTCTCAACCACTAAAAAGGATCAGATTACACGAAGAGATAAGGAAAGCTTGATACGAAGAATATATATATAGCCGCTTCTATTGGAAATCTGATGTTGGGGAAAAATCTAACCAGCAAATGGAAAAGTAAGAATAAAAAAGAATTACAAGCCTAAAGCGAACGACAAAGGAAAAGAAAACAACGCTATTTTTTTCGAAACCTGGACGAGTTTATAATAATTAGTGAAAACAAAATACCGACGTGCCGTACATGTCGTACATCGCATGTCCTTGAAAACATTGCAAGCAGCCCAGCGAATCATTCTAAAATTCAATAGGAAAACAAAAAGCCTCGGGAAATTTCAGAGGAGGTTTAAATGATTAAACTGCACAAATATTTATCTACAAAGTGAAACCGAACCGACACTAATTTTGTAGTGGTAAGAGAAACGATCATTTTTTACATTTCCCCCTACATATTACCGATCGCTTCCTCTGCAAGCTGTTTCATTCTTTCAAAAAAACATGCCTCATGACACTTCAAACTTTTTATATAGCAGGTTGGTAAAGCCACAGGAGTCTGAGAACTGACTTTTCTCCGAACCTTTATACTTGCATAGCACCTTACTTGCAAGAAAATAATCCTTTCAACAGGAAGGGACCAAGAAACTGTCAAATGTTGGAAAAAAGGAATCCATTCCTATGCAAAATACGCATGATTTGCTCGTTGGCACTCTATCGATAGGTATACCTAGTAATTAATTATATAAACGGTATATTTAGGGTAAAACATCGCTATTGATGACGAGTTGTGAGAAAGCTTAAATGCCTTACTAGACTTCTTCTAATAAGTAGTTGAAGAATTTAGTGTTACATTTTACATTGCCACATCTCCCTTTAATAAAACGTGGTACATTTCGCGTTTAAGCGTTATTCTATTTTGCGTTTTACATTACGAGTTAATGTTACATTGCTTCACGCATGTTTTTACATTTCGCGTTAAGGTTACATTTTCCGCCATGTGTTAAACCTCGTGTCTTCGTACCGCCCCAACTAACGACTGGTCTGAAATTGTTTTTAGTGTTTGATAAAAAGTCATGGGAAAATAATAAAAAGGGGGGAGGAACAAAAATCAGTTACCAGAGGGTTGGAACTCGCGTCTATCAGAAAATCCATCAGCTTTGCAAGCTGGGAACTTTTTAAGTATTGAAAAACAAATTACGGGTAAAACAAAGACGAAAGATCTCTTGAAGAAGAGTACTATTCCGCACAAAGACTTAAAATTAGATTAACTGAAAGAAAATAAATAGAATACTTCACGGAAACTACTCGCGTTTTTGACGTATCAGAGATTAAACGAGTGAGATTATTGCAATAGTCTCCTGTAGTGCTTGCCTGCGGTTCACGTCACCAAATTACAGCGCCCACAGAATACATCGGCAAGCACTTACTTCCCTTAATTACCTGACATTTTGATCATATTTATTACGCCGGTGCTGACATCCCTTCACTGGCTGCCCGAAAAATATATTTAGCAATTATTGAATGAAGCTGAGTAGGATATGAAGAGGAGGATGTTATCCACCGAGGCCGAAGGTCTCCTCGATTTGCATAATTCTTCATATCCCACGAAAGCCGAATTAGTAATTACTTTATCATTCATTCAAAATAATTCCAAGTTTAAAAACAAGGCAAAACATGCTTACCTCTGTCGATGATAATAATGCATGTTTAACGGGAGGTTTAGGAGATAAAGGGATGTTTAGGTCTGCAGATATACTTCAAATAGCTGAGGTCGTCCATCGAGTTGTTTTCTTGCTGTTCTTGCTACGTTTTTAGACAATAGTTCGCCGTAAAACGAGTGAAATGTTCTCCATTTAATACACACTTCGAAAACAACTCAAACTCGTCCCCAGGTTTTCTCGGTTAACGGTTCAATAATTTGCAACTTTGCTGCACTTTTAACGGCGTCGGTTCAATATGGCAAAATTCTTCCAAATTTGGTCAACGGTAGCTAGATATGATGAACTATGCATGTGATTTTAGCCAATCAGAAACGGAGAAATATTTTGAATGAGTAATAAAGGATCTTATTGAAGGTTGCTATATTAACTTTGAAGATATTGCACGGACTTTCACCTGACTATTTAAAGCAAGGCGATCTCTAGATACAATCTACAGTCTAACAATGGACTTCTTCTTGAAATACTATCTGTTAACTCAAAAAAGACACTGGGTCATCGCCCCTTTAAAATGGCAGCTTTCGCCTCCGTATGGAACAAATTGCCGAACAATATACGTAACGAAACTAATTTTAGCAAATCTAAATCTTCGCTTAAGACGTTTTTGTTTTTCAATTTAACTTACAATTAGGATCTTAAATACATACTTTACTTTTAATGTTATTAATGCATACATATACTACTTCAACCTTATTTACGCGCCTTTAATTGTAATTAAGGTATATTTCATTTACATCATTTTCCAAAGTTAATTTTTTTTATTATTCATTCAAAATATTTCCCCGATTCTGACTGGCTAAAAGCACACGCATAATTCACCATAACCAGTTACTTATGACCAAATGTGGAGGAATTTTGGGTTTAACGAGGAAATGAGTTCAAAAATGCAGCCCGCTACAGGTTAATGCACCGTTAACCGAGAAGACCTGGAGACGTGGTTGAGTTGTTTTGGTTGTGAAAGCAAAAATGGTGGACACTTCACTCGTTTCAAGAGTAAGAACTACAGCTGGAACTGGGCGAAATAATAGCTAAAAACATAGCAAAAACAGCAAGAAGACAACTCGGAGTGCGACATGTGCTATTTGGAGAATATTTGCGGAGCTGGACAAACCTAAACGTACACTATAGAAGATGAACTTAACATCGATGCAGGTAAGCATGTTTTAGCTATGTTTTTAAACTAGGAATTATTTTGAATGAATAATAAAGCAATCAAAGAATTCGGCTTTTGTAGGATATGAAGAATTAAGCGCACCCTCCTCGATCTGCTTAATTCTTCATATCCTACGAAAGCCGAATTCATTAATTGCTTCTCTAAAGTCAATTATTTTTATCGGGCATTTGATTATCATATTCTTGTAGATATTTGCGCGTTATAAATTTTTAACTTATTGATACAAAAACAAGTTCGCGCTTAAATATCTTACAAAGCACTTTCCGTGTGGTTTTGTGTGTGGTAGACATGTACAGTTTACAGGTCTATACATACCGAGGGGTCATTCTTTCAGCCTTTTATTTTAAAGATTTCCATAGTTCTAAAATGATATAAAACATTTTACTGCTACACATTGTGAAATGACTTGAAAGAAAACGACGTCCCTGGGTGTGACGCCGTCTTCAGTCAAAACCTAGAAGTATAAGAATTATAACGAGGGAAAGGATATAACGTACAGGCGCTGATCTCGGACAAATACTGACCGATTTCGTAATCGAGCGTCGAAAGCCCAAGTCTCTAGGAAGGTCCGGGGGCATGCTTCCCCCAGGAAATTTTTCGAATTTTGACTCTCAAAACTCCCCTTTCCTGGGTTTCTGAGTCATTCACACAGGATATTGGCCAGTTCAAATGAAGCCTTGAAAACCGGCGGATTATTTCAGCAAGGTCAGTTTCCATATTGTGGTGGATATGAAGCAAGGCGAGTCCAAACCTTTTCCAGATTTCAACTTGGTTTTTTATTATTATTATTATCAAAAAATATATTTATTATGAAAAATCTGACCGATTTCCGTAAATCTATGGAAACTGGTGTGGATCCGTGCCTGAGGTAATACAGGATTACACAATTAGTTTACCTTTTTGCTTTGAAAAAAAAAAAAACAATTGCCTGCGGAAAATAAATGAATTTGAGCAAAGTGGCCGGTTTGAATTAGCTTACCAGAAAAATAGCTCCAATTAAAAGTACAAGTCAAGCTTGCTTGTTTTTTTTTTCCCTCCCTTTCTACTGTTGTTTTACAATAGCTCTTGACAGTTCTCATCAGAGGTAATGAAATGCTACCAAGCTATACTATTCCAGTTACAAGACTATTCAGTGTTCACTTTTCTATACGAGAAAAACACTCCTTTATGGTCTCAACAAATTTCCTTTTTGAATGACTAAGAAGCAACTCGCGAAGCAAGGATGTTGCAAGCACCTATAAAAGGCCGGAAATTAGCGCGAAACTGGAAAGCTGCTGTCGAGGGGGTGAGTGGCAATTCTCCTAGGCATGCTTCATGCTAAGGAAACCTGGACAAGTTCCGGCCGTTTGGGCCTTTGGCTCCTGTGCGCCTTTACCTTTTTACCTTTTTTTAACGCGAGCGTACGAATTAGCTCTGAAAAGGAAATCTTTCATTATGAAAGCACTTGCAACAGGAAAACTCTTATCCTATCCTAGTATGCATTAAGTCATAGATAAGAAGAGCTGTCGAATGTCTCACGTTACAAAGAGAAGATCGAAGTATTTGATACTACTTACCAAAATAATGATTTGTGTGACAGTTGCTAAAGCCGATTAATGCTAACACACATTGATGAAAGAGTCTGAAGATTCCAGACTCCTTTCCTTATCTTAGAACCACTATGACCGACACCAACTCCTCTGACCTAGGAGTAGAAACAGAAATCCAAGCTACCACAAACGCATTTGGTGCCCAACCACCAAAATTAAAAATGTTCAATGGCGCTGTGCTCCCATCCCTAATCGATGCAACTGAATGCTCTCAAGAAGCTGACCTGCCCACTTTTACACCATCTACTAAATTCCCGGGAAAGATGGCAGGAGGGAATTCCTGATGTAGACGTGCTCAAGAGGGCCGACTCTGTTACTATGGAAGCTCTCATCACCTCGTATCACGTTGTGCTCGAATTCAATGGGGAGGAAAATTCAACGGAATAAACAATCGCACCGGAGGCGATGGACTCCCAATACACTTTGCTTATGTAAACGTTTTACATGTAGCTGACCTCGTTTGGTAATTACTCGAAAATCCGGAAAAAAGTTTGTAGAAATTAAATTTTACGCTCAAAATTGATCGTCTGTCAAAATGTTTTTAATCAAATCGACTGTATCAATACATCTTGTGTGAATTCTTAGCATGCGATATCTTTTGAAGCACGTTTCCTAAAGTTGAAGTCTAAAATACATTTGTGCCAGTAAAAATTATATAGTACTCTTTCATCATTACTGATCCTACAACCCCGGACAAAACCTGTTGAGGCAAATCGCAAAAATGCCTATTTTTTCCTGCCATCCTGGTAAAAACTGAAACCTCCGTCAAATGAATGCCCGATTTCCTCCCTCCCCTTATCCAAAGTTGTTTAAGACAGCAATACCCGCGTTTACTGAGTGTGTAATTAGAACAATTTAGGACATGCCAGTTTATCTCCTTGACAAAATAATAGAATCCATGCCGATAAAACCATTAATTTTTCTATGACAACCAGGGCCAAAAGAACAAATACTAATGAAGAACTTCCAAAATGGGTAGAAATAGGATGTGTAGGGAAAACAATGCCTCTTTGATCACAAATACAGCGAAAACATGTTGTCACGCGATGGCAGTTCTTTTGTGGCAAAAAACAGCGCATATCATGACAATTACACCAGTGTCAAAAAGTTTTCCTTTTAGTAAAAGGTCTTTTTAATACTTGAAAATCAACAAAAAGGTTCTATATACTGTACTACGGAAAATGCTTGAAAGAACAGTAAACGCTTGAAATAAACGATTAACAGGAACGCGCATGTTTATTCTAACGGTTCACAACGATTAACAGCGGTTAACAGAATATATTAAAGGAAACTGATAGTCTACGAGTTGTTTTTCTTCAGAAAAGTTGTTAACCGTTGTTAACCGTCGTTAACCGTTGTTTCTTTCCTCTGCTGTATTTTATTCGCAAAGATAACCGTCTGCGAGAAAAAAACTACTCCGTTTCTGTTGCATAACAAGCTCATCAAAGCACCTTGCACATCAGGGATTTCCCGTTATTGTTCCCGCGGAATCTGCGTGGAGAAATGAGAGATCCATCATGCCACATTCCCGTTCGTACACAATTCCATGTTTGCTGTAACTGGAGCAATGTTGTTTAATTAAGTGTAGGATCTTTGCATTGCACTTGGCGAACAACTTAATCACTGCTAAGGCAAATTACTCGCGGGATAGAAAAATAAGTCAACCTGTTGAGACAAATCGCGAAACTGCCATCCTTGCAAAAACTGAAACCTCCGTCAAATGAATGCCCGATTTCCTCCCTCCCCCTATCCAAAATTGTTTAAGATAGCATGACAATTATACACGTTGGTTTTTAGACCAAGACAACTTTGAATAGGGGGTGGGGAGAGGGCTTACTTTTTCTGTTTAGAGGAGTAGTGGGCAAAAGTTAGAAAATAGATGGAATTGTCTCAACAGTTTTGTCCGGGGCTGTAGCAATCTGTAGGACGCGTGTAACAATTATGAACTTAGTAAATGGCTTAGTAGCCTTACCATCAGTGTCTCTATATATCATTGGACAAAAGGACTAATGAAGTAGCGATGGTGGTGAAAGACATTCGTGCGTTAAGGGACTCATTCGAGCCCTGATTGGATGAAGTGTGATGGAAATTTGAATACACCGAGATTAAAAACTCTAGTGTTAAAAAATATAAGTGAGAACAGTTTTAGAACTTGGAAGGACTTGGACAGAGAGACAATTTTCGTTTATTCGATTGATAGTTTTTGAATTCGCTTGGTAGTTTTTTGTGAATTTGAATTCGGTCAAGTTGTAAAATTCGTAGCTAAGAGTTGTGTACAATTTTTGAATATAGTTCATTCTCGCGAACATCATTATACAGTACCCTTTCATCATCGCTGATCCTAACAGTACGTAGGACGCGTGTCGCACAAAAAACGTAGTTTAGTAGCAGTTGTTGTTTATACTGAGGGGTATCCTGTGCGTTAAATCCTTTAAGGTATAGTTTGTTATTTTCTGTTATTTATAGTCATAAAATATACTGCTCTTCTATCGCTCTTGGAATGCAGTTTTCAGTTGTTTTACCTTTTTTGGATTCCTTTCAGAAAACATGGAGGATCTAAGAAGAGCAAGCGTACAAAGACCTGCACCTGGTGGAGACTTTCCAAGGGAAATACGACAGGACGAAGAAAATTTAGAGAGACAGCTCAGAGAGATGCGGCAACGTGAAGAAAATTTGCAAAGAGAGCTCAGGGAGATCCGGCAACGTGACGAAAACTCACAAAGGCAGTTGAGGGAGATGCAGCAAAACTCACAAAGACAGTTAAGAGAGATGGAACAACGTGAAGAAAACTTACAAAGTCAGCTGAGGGAGACACAGCAACGTGAAGAAAACTCACAAAGGCAGTTGGGGGAGACACAGCAACGTGAAGAAAACTTACAAAGGCAGTTGGGGGAGATGCTGCAAAACTCACAAAGGCAGCTCAGAGAGATGCAACAACGTGAAGAAATTTCACAAACGCAGCTCAGGGAGATGCGGCAGCGATTTGAAAGCTCCCAAGAACGGGTTTCCACCTTGGAAAGACAGCTGAGAGACAAAGACCAGGAAGTGAATGAACTAGAGTTAAGTCTTTCGTTAGCCCAGCAAACAATAAGTGAACAGCAACAACAGGAAACGTGCGATTGGGTTATTTCCCGTGATGAAATTCAAATGACCAATAAATGCCTCGGCAGGGGAGGCTGGGGAAGTGTTTATGAAGGCGTGTATTGTGGCTGTACTGTAGCAGTAAAGCAAATTCATGATCTGATTCTCTCCCCTCATAACATACGTCTTTTTGAGAGAGAAATGAATATTGCATCCAAGTGCCGCCATCCTCACTTGCTGCAGTTTATCGGCGCCACTAATGATGAGGGAAACCCTCTGTTTGTCACCGAGCTGATGGAGAAAAGTTTGCGAGCTCTGTTAGAACAGCGACAACTCGCCGAGATAGACATACGTGTCATTTCTCTGGATGTAGCCCGAGCGATTAACTATCTTCATCAGAAAAAACCAGAACCTATCATTCACCGGGATGTGAGCAGTGCTAATGTGTTGCTATGGCGACAAGGTGACCAATGGAGAGGTAAAGTGTCAGATTATGGCACTGCTAATTTCATGCAGCAGACCATGACAGTGGCTCCTGGAGCTATGATTTACTGCGCACCTGAAGCACTTACATCAAACCAAACGGTCAAGGTGAGTTTTCCTGAATTTAGGGCTTTTTTGATTTAACACAGTTTAGACTTCAAAGAGACTGGTTGGTGCGATGATCTTGAGCGCGTAGGATTTTAAGGCCTGGTTGGTCGTTTACTCACACTACCCTACTACGCTATGTCGTTCTTCACCTAGGTGTAAAATTGGAAGCAGCAAAATGATGCTGATGGGGTTAGCCTTGTGTGAGCCAGACTAATATTCTGTGTTGAGTGGAGTGGCGGTATGTCTTGCTGTTTAATTCCCGGCCAAACGACTTCGCATCTAAATCTGATAAGAGTCAAACCTTTCTAAAACGACCGCCTTTGGGAGAGAATAACGTCACCGCGTGAGAAAGTAGCCGTTAAGGGGAGGTAGGGTGTAAAGTGACACCATGGTTCTTTTGGTGGGGGTGGGGGAGGGGAGGAGAAGTTTACAATATTCTTGTAAAGTATATCCTTATTACAGCTTAAGCTTAATAAGACGCATCACAATTAGATTATAACACTTACAGTCAAGTCAGGTCAAGATTCCATTACTGAACTTATTATTCGAAAGGTGAATTCGTTGGTGTTTGTAAATTTCAGTTTCATAGCTGCATTTCTGCATGCTTAATGAACAGTGAATTCGCACGCGAGGTAGTTATGAGTACCCGCTAAGTTGTCTTTAATTTGATGTAAATTTCTCCAACGTAATTTTATCCATTCAAATGTTTTTCAATCTGACCGAATACAGAGAGGTTATCGTAAAAAAATTCACTGCTAATTACGCATACAGGGATGCAGATTTGAATTTAATACTGGTTGCGTAGTTGCTTAAAGAAGGAATGACCTAAAATGAGCTACAATAGGGTGCTAATGGGGGTACCCAATCCTCAGTTAACTACAAATTTTGGTTAGCTACTAACTTTCACTTTCCTACAACAAATATTGTTCTGTCATAACCCGAATTCTCTTTACTTCAGCACGTCAATCACTTTTGGGGGTAGGCCCTACTAAAATCAAGGTATAAATTTACATGAACTCACATAAACTCCGCCACTAGTACAGTTTATAAGTAACTGAAGATATGGAAAAGAACATAATTATCTAACCTAAGTTGCAAAACTGGGTAAGCGATAGCTATTAAGACACGTATTTACCGATTTTTGCTCTAAGTACAAATTAGAACTAAGTCGTATAACCATCATTATGACAACAGCCTCATAGATCCAGACGCACCAGTGATGATCTCCTACTGATCTTCCCGAGCTGGTCATGCAAGTCCTGCCATAAACTCACTTTAAAGTCACCTTCTTCGTCACTTTCATTATCTGAATCAGTCATGTACTTGTCTGGTTGAAATTACTGTATGTATCCTGTATCTTGTTGTTCGCCTACGTTTCAGTCCATTTTCAATCCTTGCAATCCATTGCAACACACGACGGGAAACAATACCAATTACAAAATAAAGTCTTAAATAACAAAACTGGACCATTACTTTTGGAATTCAGTTGATGCAAAAAAAAGTTTTAGCTTTTTAAAAAGATAGCAAATAGCATGACATAGTCCCATGACGCTGGTGGGCACAAAGCGCCACATATTTAAACGAAGTCTAACTTAAAGTGCTACTACGATCAAATTTGGGAATTTGTTTTTGATTACATATTTCGAAAATGTATGTAAAAGTGACTTACCGTGCCAAGTTTGGAGTCCAAATATGATCTGGAAGTGTGTTTATTTGCACGGCAATTTTCGTAAATGTCTTGCCGCCATTACTCGATTCAAAAAATGACCGGGAGTAGTATTTGAAGGAGTTGGGGCGAGATGTGACGTAGAAACATCAACGCGGCAAAACAAGGCAAACAAACGTGGCTAATTTCGCATGCAGGACGAGATATTTTTGGAAGCTTTTGGAGGTTTTTAACTTCGCTTTTTTGACTTAAAGCGAAAGTATGCCTGGTAGACGTTGTGTTGTTCAGGACTGTGGAAACGTAAAGAACGATGAATTATGAATTTCTATTCATAATTCTCCTGATTTGGGCAGCGTTAGATTAAAGTGGAAAAGGTTCGTGTCCATTTATTCGGAAGGATTTCAACCCAGTGGGAAAATTTGCTGTGTGATCGGAGCATACATGGGATTGTTTTACGCTTGCTTTTCCGATGAAAGACATGAAAAGGAATTTGAAGAAGGGGACGTTTCCAACCATTTGGAAAAAATCCTTTCAAACACTATCAAAGCAGAGTCGACGATCGGTGAGTGAAATTACAATGTATTTGCGCTGTGCTTATCACCATTATTTTTTATTTCCCCATTTACCTCTGACATGATTTTTTCTGGCATCTTTGTTCAATATTCGTGTAATGAATGCTCTGACTATTTGGACTTCCCATATTGTTGCATGTGTTTTCATACTTTTCTGCTTTCTTCCCATAGTTATAGTAAAACGGGCATTTGCGCTGAGTGGACGTGAAGTCAATTCCCCAATTCCCAGACCTTTCCACTCAAGCGTAAAATTTAGAAAAAGTGAAGCTACATAGAAATCCGGCTCTCTATTTTTTGAGAGATTATCTTGCTGTTACTTTGAGATTTGACAGTACTCCAAAAGTCCCTCCAAGAAATCTTACAGCAAATTAAGAGTTACACGCGAGTCTTTTAAAACGACCAAAATTGGACTTAGTCTGATTTCTACATTCTGTAAGTTCAGTTACTGTTTGCGGGTTTTTTTTCGTTTGTATTTTAATTCTATTTTCACTGTCTGCAAATGATGCATACTTTTTAAGGCAAAGATGTGGTTAAACCTTGCTTCCATTTCTAGTTTTGAAAACATCGACATAAAGCTCAAATTTAAACTTGTTTTGAATGGGAGATATAGAAAATGGTCGTACCTATTTTCATTTTTAGATATGAAATGAAAATCTGGCTGGTCAAACTACTAATGAGGATACAGAGAAAGAAGACAATCCTGAAGAAGAGGTGATCTCTTTGAAAGGAAGTTCTGCACCTGAGGAGAGTGCTGACACTATGGGGGCTCCCAATCTCAACCCTAAGGAGTCTCCAGAAGTCGAGGGTGTTCTGAATACAAGTCAGGGTTCTTTGCTTGAGGTAAATCCTGAAGGGAGGGCTGCATCCCTGAGACTGAGACGGGTGAGATAAGTGTTGATGCTGAGATGGCTTCAGAGGTCCTAGGTACTCCTGGTGATAAGACAGCTCTCGAGAGCCAAGGGATTTCAGGCACTGATGAGGTTACTGAGACCATGCAGATCCTGGAGGCTCAGGTAATCGAAAAAGTGCAGGATATGGATGAAGATATGCAGATTGATGAATCATTAACGATTCCTGAACTTGAACAGGTTTCTACGGTAGGTGCATAACTCTAATTAATGTTTATTTGCATCTTTGTATTATCATAACAATGGAAAACTACATGTGCAGTTATTTTACAACAATACTAAAACACAAAAATTCTAAAGTCTTGTTATTACAGCCTGTATTAATGTTGAAAGTTTGTTTTTTGTAGGATACTCCAACTGGACATGTTGGGAATTGTACAACATGCAAAACCCTGAGGAATGAGGTGACACAGTTACGGGGCAAAGTCACAAGACTGAAGAGTAAGTTAATCTCCAGTCAAGATCAGTGGGTTGAAACCTTTAAGAGCATACAAGAGCCGAAGCAGTTGCTGATGGTGAATGCTGGTGAGTCAACAATAATTGATGTTGATGAGTCATATAGGCATAACTGCCTATCTTTATATTTTTATTATATTTTATCAGTATTTGATTATTTAATAATAATTAAAATTTTAATGGTGATAGAATTTTTTTAATTCCATTTGTTTAAGCTATTCAAACTGATCCATGGCCAGTAACAAATGAGACAGAGTTAGGGCTAGAGGATGAATCAGAAGATGAGCTAACCTGCGATCAGGCGATTTTTTGAGCAGGAAACGCAGGACAACACGTATGAGGAGTTTGAGTGTGATGAAGACCCTACATGGAGTCCTGAAGAAATCGAAGATGCATATAAAAAACTAAAGGAAGATGATGACTCGGTGAAGACTCATCAGAACCCAAGGTACAAAGATGCAAAATTTATTGCATTTTAACGTCTTAGCTCTAAGTATCCTCTGGGAAGTGATTTAGGCCTAAAACTAACTTCCAGTATGAGAGGATCTATTTACTTAAACAAGAGTACATGAAATTTGTTCTTGTAATTTACTTAGATAAGAATTGCTAAAAAAAAAAAAAAAAAAAGAGGCATAACCAGCCCATAGACTGGAAGTCCCAGGCCTAAAAATGTTTGGTTTGTCCACTCAACCACCTGTAATAAATTATGCATCGTTGGGGTGGGCTAGATAGCTTAAGGGCTCAAAGTTGTCATGTGTGCAATCAACAGAATTATTATAAAAAAAAGCGTTTTTCAGGATGTGTTTGAGAATAAAATCCCAACCCACAATTAGCCAGGTTTACAACAAGTTGAAAAACTGGCAACACCCTGAGAAAAACAATAAAAATGATAGTCATTTTTAAATTGTTATTTTATTATTTCAGATGCTATGATTAAATGAGTATTTCCTTTCAATCATTTTTGACAGGTTGGATCTACAAGGAAAAAACATTCGAGAGGAACTGAAGGGAATTGTTTTCCTTTCCAAACTTCTTCTTTTATTTCAGTTCTCCCACTTGTGCTTCTTTTCAAAA